TCCATAGGTTTTCCTGCCTCTTCACTTCCATTCACTTCGCTTCCACCTGACTCCCACCCTCCACCTGTTTCTGCTTGTCTGAGAGTCCTACCCGTCCGTCATCTCGGCCACCCCCAGTGCCACCAGAGCATGCCACTACTACAATGCCTGTCACAGTCCTGTCTCCCTTTTCAGGCTCAGAACACCTGATTGCCCTGACTTTGTGCAGAGATCTGCCACTTTCTCAATGCTTTTACCCATTATCTCTTTTTGATGTTAACCTCCCCTCTATCCTGTGAGTTCAGAAAAGAAGATATGGCTCTTCTTTTTTTTTTAATATGAAATTTATTGTCAGATTGGTTTTCATACAACACCAGTGCTCATCCCAACAGGTGCCCTCCTCAATGCCCATCACCCACTTTCCCCTCCCTCTCACCCCCATCAATCCTCAGTTTATTCTCAGTTTTTAAGAGTCTCTTATGGTTTGCCTCCTTCCTTCTCTGTAACTTTATTTTACCCCTTCCCCTCCCCCATGGTCTTCTGTTAAGTTTCTCAGGATCCACATAAGAGTGAAAACATATGAGAAAGACAGATATGGTTCTTTGACTACAGAAGAGGCTAGGACTCTAAGAGGATACACAGCTAGGAAATAGTCCACTCCGTTCACAGAACTCAAAGTCTTCTGGTCCCTCCACTTGGCCTCCCTGATATAGCCGCCTTTATGGTGGGACTTCTCTTCTCATAACTAGGCCTGTCTCTCTAGTTTCTTTGTTAAGCCCCAGGAGGGCCTGGAGCCCATCTCCCATCTCCCCTTATGCACACAGCCCTAAGCCACATCAGTTTTCAGTGAACTACTCTCAGTGCCTGGCGACCCACAGTGGCATTCCACGGAGACCTCAGTCCTTCACCTGCTACATTAGCAATCAGCCAGCCCTCCAGGCTTCTCTCTGCAGAACGGGGCTTAGCTCTGCCTTAGGAGAGCCCCCAGGAGACCCTTCACACGCTTGGAACATGGAACATTTCCTAGAATTGCAGGTGGCGAAAGCCACTGTGTGTGCACACGTACAAAACTGCCTTGCATCTCTTCCTGAACGCTTTTCATAAAGAACCTCGGATCTGAATGCACAGGGACGTGAAAACCTCCCCCGTCCCTTTCCCTGGCAGATGATCTCTGGGGAGGCATTTGTAGCTAGTGTGTAGCTGTCTTCCAGACATGCTGCTTTCCTGGTAAGGGTCACCAACTGAGTTCTTTTTCTCCCATCCTTGTTTGACTTCATCTCAACAACCTAAGAGGCAGCGGAAATAATCCCGCCACACCTCCCCCCAACTCTGTTTTTATTTCTCATGATTGGTTGTTTGTTTTCTGCCCACACATTGCTCTAGAAAGAGTTGCTAGTAGGATGGGAATAAGCATTCTGCTCTCAGAAACACTGCTCACCTCACTCATTCCATGTGGAACTTACTTGTGTCTAGACCCGGTGAGGAAACTTTAAAACTGTGTATGAAGTCGATTACTACTACCTTCACCATTAATAATAATAATAATATATAAGTTATAATCATATATATCGTATAATATAATAATATGTAATAACTACTGTTATAATAAATGTTTATTATGTATCAGCCACAATTCTATGGCTGCTTGTCTTAATTGCTTTACTCCTCACACACACATGGGCTAAAAGGTAGGTCCTCTTGCTAGCCCTATTTTACAGATGTGGAACAGGACAGTTAAGTCAATTGTCTAAGGTCACATGAGTCCTTTGATCTTGGACAGGGAGAGAAACCATAATGGGAAATCCCAGACATTCAGGAAATCATCCCCCCAACACCCCACATTAGAACAGACTCTACCTGTTTCCCTCTCTCCTCCCTTTCTTTCTCTTTTGTACCCGTTATTAGTTCTTTACCTTCCTACCTCTGTGAATGAGGCAATTCCCTATCCCTCTCTAAACTTGACTGTCCTCTTCTGACCATGGGGAGAGGATCCCTCCTTGCTGACCTCATGGCCTGATGATGTGGGAGAGAACCATCAGGACCACGATTGGGGTGCACTGAGCCCACTGGAACCTGCTGGGTTCGAAGGAAAGGAGTCAGTCTTCATGTGCTCTGCTCTGTTGCAGCATCTCGGGCTACGGAGCTGCTGGCGGGAAAGGCGGGAAGAACACCATGATGCGGTCCCACGGCGTGTCTGTGCTGGGCATCTTCAACCTGGAGAAGGGCGACACGCTGTATATCCTGGTCGGACAGCAGGGGGAAGACGCCTGTCCCAGCGTAAGTGCCCAGAGTGGGGACCTCTCCTTCACACTCAACAGGACCTGGGCAGTCCCTCACAGGGCATCTGGACTCTTTTCTTCTGGGGGCTCATATTCAAAGATGGCAGGACTCAGCCCTTGTTCTGCCTGCAAATGTCCCTCCATTTCCTGGCCCATTGGGGTACATAAGAAAGTAGGCAGTATGGCTGTTGGGGTTTCACCTCCCCACAGGAACTAAGGCTGAGGCATGGATTTCAAGAGGAACCCTTAAAACTAAAAAGCTGGATCCAACTTGAATGGGTAAATGGTTGTTCTCAGCAGACTACAAGTTGAAGCCCTTTTCCTAAACTTTCTTGCTAGGACACCAACGTCTTTAGCCCATTATTATAAAACTGGAAAATACCAGTTTAAATTTTTTTAAGTGTATTTGTATTTTGAGAGAGAGAGAGAGAGAGAGAGAGCAAGCAGCGGAGGGGCAGAGAGAGGGAGAGAGAGAGAATCCCAAGCAAGCTCAGCACTGTCATCATGGAGCCCAACATGGGGCTCGAACTCATAAACCATGAGATCATGACCTGAGCCATAACCAAGAGTCGGATGCTTAACTGAGCCACCCAGGCGCCCCAGGAAAATACCAGTTTAAACATTTTCTGCTCAGCTCTAAATAACAGATTCATAGCCACATAATTGTACATAAATGCATAGGGAAATTTCCAAAAGATACAGATAACAGTGGTTGCTTCCTTTTTTAAAAAATTTTTAAATGTTTATTTATTATTGAGAGACAGAGAGATGCAGAGTGTGAGCAGGGGAGGCATAGAGAAAGGGGAGACATAGAATCTGAAGTAGGCTCCAGGCTCTGAGCTGTCAGCACAGAGCCTGACGCAGGGCTCAAACTCACAAACTGCGAGATCATGACCTAGAGCCGAAGTCAGTAGCTTAACCAACTGAGCCACCCAGGCACCCCAGACAGTGGTTGCTTCTGAGGAGGAGACTAGAGTTGGGGTTGCTTTACTATTGATGTCTGATATCACAAAAAGAACGTATTCATGTAATGTTTATTATCTGGGTGATTAAAACTAAAAAAGAAAAATTAAAGCCTAGAATCAGAGCTAGAACACCATGCAGTCCACTCTCCCCAATTTACAGATGAGAAAATGGAGACCAAAGAGGTGAAGGGACTTTTCCAAAGCCACTCGTAATACAGCAGAGTAGAGGCTCTGGCTCTTGTTTGTGCTGTGCCCTGCGCTTGCCTGGGACTCGGTTTCTATGACCTTTGCCTTTTCCCCACTTAGAGCCTGTCATCTAACAAGCCAGACTGCCATCCTCTGTAGTCCCAGAAACAGCCTGTCACTCTGGTTTCTGACCCCATTGCAGTATCCACCTGTCAAACAGGGAGCTCTCCAATAGCAGAACTTAAGAAAGACAGCAGTGTTCTAAAATTGCCGGAAGAAGGAGACCCTGAAGCCTAACAAAGGAGCAACCATGCAGAGTCCAGCACGCCAGGTGTTTGCCTCTTGTCTGTGTTGGCGGAGACAGGAGCCTGGTGGTGCCGGCTCTCCTGGAGGGAACGCAGCACCGTTAGGTACTGACCTTAGGTGCTCACCTGAAGCACGGCTTCTGCCCAGGGTGGGGCCAAGGCAGGGTGCAGAGTTCTAGTGCCCAGGACCCAGGGTCCCTTCTGTAAAAACTTATTCAAGAGTAGCCTTGGGGGACAGATGTGGGAACAGGGACTACACAGAAAGGAGTACAATTCCACAAAACAAACTCAAGACTCCTAAAAGCTGGGCCACTGGCTGGGAGCGAGGAGTAAAGCACAACACCCATCCCCACCCCCACCTTTCAGGGTTAAAACAAAGCAACAGGAGGAGGCTTAGCAGGTGCAATCTTGTGCATGAGAAATGTCTGGACTCCAACTTTTATTTAGCAACTATAATCAGGACTTTCCAACCTGATACAATATATTAAGTCATTAAATTACAGGCTGCTGTAATTTCCACAGGAATGTATTGAGTGCTAATGTAATTCTTTCATCTAAGCAGAAAGATTGCATTGACTTCTGCAAGGGACTTTTACTTGATTGGATTGTAATCAGTTATGTCTTTTCACAGGACCAAGTCCTTTTTTTTTTTTTAATTCAATTGTAATCTACTTGCTCCTCAGGGTTGCTGCACTTTATCATTGTATTAATCAACCTACTTGCTCTCAAACTTTGTGAAACCACAAGGAGAGCTCTGAAGAAGCCCATTCTCAGCCAGGGACGGAGAGCAGCTCCCTCTGCTGGTGGGGCCAGGCATCGTAGGAGCAAGGGGTGGGGTTAGTCCTGGGGCTTCCCTTTGGCTCCACATCGCGGGAGTCACTGGCAGAGAGAGAAAGAAAGACCTTCATTCACAGCACTAACTCAATCTCCAGTCCTCTCCAGGCAGAAACATGGTGCCTAGAGAGGATCCTCTCAAGAATGGAGTGCACTCTAAGAATTAAACTGCAGGGTTTGGCAGCTTTCCTGGTGCGATAATACACCTGTGTGGAGTCGTTCTTCCTTTGTGCGTGGCTACACTTGAGCCTGGGATGGGCTCTGGCCGCTGGAAACCCCCTCAGCTCCTGCTTCTCCAGTTCCTCCCAAGCCTCATCTGGTGGCATGACCACCAGATCTGGTGGGATGGGTCTCTCAACATCAGCACTATTGACATTTTGGAGCAAATGGGTCTTTGTTGTGATGGGCACTGTAGGCTCTTGAGCAGTATCTCTGGCCTCTACCCACCTGATGCCAGTAGCATCCCCTCAGTGCTGACAATCAGAAATGTGTCCAGACATTTGCCAGGTGTCCCCAAGTCAGCAAAACCACGGGTCTAAATTTTAAATGTCACAACTACCATCACTCACAAGGCAAATATTGTGAGGCATCAGCCCACACCCAGACAGTCGCCAGTTCATTCACATGTATTCAGCAAATATCTATCGAATACCTTCTCTGTGCCAGGCACTGCTCTAGCAACTTGATATATATCCATGAACAAAGAAAGATCTTTGCCCTGAAGGAGCTAACATTTCCGTTGGGGGAGGAGGGATGAACAATGGCTAGTAAACATCAGTCAGTCAGAACACCCAGAAGTGAGAGTGTTTCGGTGAACAGAAGTAGGGTAAAAAGAGTCAGGTGTGTGGGACAGGTTGCAATTATACATAGGGTGGTCGAGGGAAGCCTATTGGACAAATGACAGCTGAGCAAAGTCCTGAAAAGGATGGAACCAGGAAAATATCTGGGGACACCAGCCAAGCAGAAGCCAGGTCCTTGAGGTGGGAGTGTGCCTGGTGTGCTCCCAAAATAACCAGGGTGAGTTGGGGGAGCAAGAGGGAGAGTACGTGAGAGATGAAGTGATCAGGCCACCATAAGGACATTTTTAAGCCACAGGAGGGTTTGGAGCCTATGGGTGGGAATAAGGTGGGATAAGGAGCTGCTGTGATTTGCCTGTTGTAAGACTCACCCTGGCCATAGACTGAATAGTCCACTTGGGCCCAAGGGAAGAGTCAGCACGATAAATTCAGTGCTTACTACATTAGTCTGGGCAAGAGATGATGATGGCTTGGACAAAGATGTCAACAGTAGCTGAATTCTGGACATATTTGGAATGCGAAATCAAAAGGGATTTCCTGTCCAACTAGATGAAGAACTGAGACAGAAAAAGGATCAAGGACGACTCCAAGAATTGCACCTGAGTCACAGGAAGGAGGGAGCTGCTGTCACCTGAGCCGGGAATGCTGTGGAAGGAGATTGGGGGCAAGGTTAGGAGAGGTCTGGTGGACAGCCAGGTGGAGATTTCCAGTAGCCAATGGAGATGGGCCACTGGACTCCAGGAGTGAGGTCTAGAGTAGAGATAGAAATTTGGGAGAAGTCAGCATAAAATTGAGCCAGGATGAGATTGACTAAGGAGCAGTACTGATTAAGAGGAAGACCAAAGACTGAGCCCCGGGGACCCCCCAACATTAAGAGGTTAAAGAATAGAAGAGCAGAGGAGGCTGAGGGAAACAAGCCATGGAGGTCAAAGGAGATTCCAGAGGGTGTGGTCTCCTGGAGGTCAGGTGAAAAAGTCTATCATGGAGACATGAGCAAGTCTGCCAAATGCTGCTGCTGGGTCCAGCAAGAGGCACGCTGAGAATCCACCCTTCTTCGCAGCCCATGCAATTTAAAGGAGATGCCCAGGGGCAACGGGGGATGGGCGAGTCTCAGCTCTGGTTAGACGAAAGGCCATCCACTAGCCCAATGGTTCCCTCCTTCCCACTCCTGCAATCTCCAGCCCTCTGCAGATTCTGTTCACAGGAAGAAGGCATTCCCAAGGAATTGAGGCCTCACTGCTGCTGGGCAGAGAGGAGGAAGAAAGTAGGGTCTGAGGGCATGGACCTTCTTAGCACCACTGGTTCATACTGGGCAGCCCCTCAATTTACACTGGAGGAAGCAGGGCCAGGGAGGTGAGATGCTTCACCCAACGTGGCTCAGCAAATCTCCAACAGAGCCAGTCAAGAAGCCGGATTGGACCCCGTATTTTGTGCTCTGCTCTGCCCAGCAGACAGCCCACCTTTGGGTCCGCTGCCCCCCGGGCTCAGCCCTCACAGCATGCCCTGACATTTCATGTCCACCCCAGGCAGCAGTTAGCAGCCCTCCCCCCACCATCCCCCACCTGGACAGCACTGCACACACACAGGAGAAATGTCAGCTCTCGACAACAGCAATTCAGAAGCTTCCACCCACACTAAATCCACTTTAAAAAATATCAAATTATTTCCATCATTAAATCCAAAATGCCATAAAACAAATTGCATCTTGGCTATTTATCTGGAAATTTCTCTAGTACTCATTGCCGGCACCCCTGAGTGCTTTAGCATAAGGAGTGGCTCAAGATGAATTGCCACGTCCACTGGCTGGTTACACAGCAGCATTCAATGGAAATGTGATGTTTTATTGGCCTTGTTTCTAATAAGTGAAAGGAAAGCCATTTTCCCCCGAAGTTGGGTGGATGTTTGGAGTGTTCTTCTTAGCTGCTGTGCCTGACGAGCCGGCTGGCTGTTCCTGAAGCACTACCTTCTTTATTCAGGGATTCCAGGATCCTGGGCCACAGGGATTTCCTGCACATCCCCAGGGACTCCCAGATGCCTGGGCCCACACCAGGACCACGTGCAGGCCCAGAGTACATCTATATAAAATAACAACAGCCATTTATTCGCTCCCTAACTTGTGACATACTATCCCAGACACCTGTCTGTACCATCCTCAGTAAAGATGCCTGCAGTGTCTGTATTCCCATCCCACACCTGGAGGTTGGAGAGGTGGAGCACCTCCTCCATGGTCCCCCAGGGGTGTCTGCTGATTCCTGGGGTCACACCCTGTTCTCCAGGTGAATACAGAGAGCTCCATTTAGAGCCGTGCCAGAGGATTTCTGGAGGCAAGAAGTGGGACATTAGATGGGAGGAAAGAGATGTCCAAAATGGAGACATGATTTTCCTGCAGATGGACTGGGAGTAAAATCTGAGCCTGGCCTCACACTGTTGTGTTCTCTTCCCATGATACTTCAAAATGGCAACTTCTCAAAAATTTATTTCAAGGGCTCGCCGCTGCCTAGAGAATGAAGTCTGGTTGGATTCAAGGCTTCTGGCCATTGTCTGACTGTCCAGTTGTATTTCCTTACCCACTCACATTTACACTTCCTCTGCGCTATCTCCCCACCGAGGGCCTTGGCCATTCCCCCTTCAGAGTCCAGAGGATCCTAAGGTGGACTTTTCTGAGCCAAAGAGACTCTTTGTGCGTTTCCTCAAATCCGCCCCCCCTCACCTCCTTCTCTCTGGGCTCATGCTGCTCTCTTCCCCTGGAATGCCCTTTCCCCATTCTGTTTTAAATCTCCCTATGCCTGGAGGCCCAACTAAACACCTCCTACAGGCAGGCCTCCTTGATCACGTCAGCAACAAAATCACTCTCCCTCCCCCAACTTCCCATGCATTTTCCAGCTAAGCTATCCTGTCGTCCTTCTCTCTACTCCCTAGTGACAGTTACTTGTGTATAGATTTGTTTTTTTCTCTCTTCAACTCAACTGTAAGCTATTTGAGAGGTCTTCAGAGCCTGTCATGAAGCATAGAAGGTCTGTCTGCTGGGAAGTAGAGAACCTTGGACACAAACCTGAGGTGCTTTTTGTTCCCACAGACAAACCGGTTAATCCAGAAAGTCTGCATTGGAGAGAACAACGTGATAGAAGAAGAAATCCGCGTGAACAGGAGTGTGCATGAGTGGGCAGGAGGGGGCGGAGGAGGGGGCGGAGCCACCTACGTATTTAAGGTAAGGTCAGCTGTGCCAGCTTCCCATGGGTGGTGATGTCCGCGAATCGTGGACCCACCACAGTGGGTTCTCACGATGGCCCTGGGGATGAAACACCTCAGGTGTCCTCAGCCCCATTTAAAGATGAGCAAACCGAGGCCCAGAGGGACATAAGGGTCCCTGTCTGTCCAAGAACCAACAGGTTCTTCTCTCGCTGATGTCACCAGGCAGGCCCTACCCCAGAGTTCCAGAGGGTCCCCTGGTGCCCTCCTCTGTCCTAAGGTGGGGTTTCTGACATGATGAAACCCAGGCCAAGGCTTCTTGCTCGGTCCTTCCGCCAGGACAGTGATGCCGAGGGCTTAATCTTGAAGTTGTGGAGGTCAAAGCCAGAAACCCTGGAGAGCGGGGAGGAAAGTGGGAGCAGAGAGACCCGCTTCTGAGCACCAGCACCCAGCCCTCTGAGGCTAGTGTGACAAGCTTCAGGAAAAGCCCCATCCCCACCTCCTGGTGTTGGTATATTTATATCTCCCGGCGCTTTGGCTTCTCTGATTGAACCCTGATTGATTCAGGAGCTGGGGGAGGGTGGGAAGGGGGGTGGGTGAGAGCTAATGGGTGGCGGTAGCACGAGGTCAGACCCCTCAGACCACCGAGATGTCACCCACGGCCCAGCAAGCGCTCAGACACTTTAAACACTGAAGTGGCTCAGAGATCCCCATAGTGGAAGCCCAGCTCTGTTTCTCAGTCTCTGAACATCTCCCCGGGCAGATGAAGGATGGCGTTCCAGTGCCCCTGATCATTGCAGCTGGCGGTGGCGGCAGGGCCTACGGGGCCAAGACAGACACATTCCACCCAGAGAGACTGGAAAATAACTCCTCGGTTCTGGGGCTGAATGGCAATTCCGGAGCCGCAGGTAAGGCACCGCAAGCCCGCCCTTTCCCAGGACGTGCCCCCAGGACCGCAAGAGGTTGGGCTCGGCCGGTTGTCATTGCACCTGCATCTTGGTTGCTGGCACTCGAGAAGCTGGGAGCTCTGGATATTGGTACCAATATTGGTACCAGGGAGGAAGGGCATCCCACGGCTCAGGGACCTGGAGTCATCTTCACTGACCTGGGGTTTGGATTGCGGGCCACTGGGAAAAGGAGACAGGCAGCAGCATTAGGACGGGCAGCCCAGCCTCCCTGAACTTCATCAGATCCAACTGGATATGAGTGGATGGAAGAAGTATGGGCAGAGTCAGGGCGCCTCCCCCCCCCACCTGGAGGCCCTCTGGTCGGTGCCTCCAGGCCCTGGGCTACCAGATCACACATCCCGCTGGAAAATCTCTTTCTGGAATCGCCACGGTTTGGCAATCCGTGCTCGTTAGTGAGAGCCAGCCACACAGAAATAGGAGACAGACGTTGACGCCGTGTCTGAAGAGAAAATGCAGTTCATTTTTGTATTTTCTTTTCTCCACAATCAGACCAAGGATCTCAGAAGGCATATAAGATTTGAGATTAATGAAAACAAGTCCTCAAACTTTCCCTACAAGTGAGAGATGGCTAGAAGAGAAGGGAGAGTGGGAGTAGGGCTTGGGTGCTTGGTGAAGACCATCTAGCAATGTTCACAGCGGCAGTTAAGAACTCTCCAAGCACTTCCACATCTGTTGTACGTGTGCTTCTCAGCACCACCTGCAGGGCTTTCCCGTTGTACTATTATTCCCATTTTACAGAAGAACCAATGAGCTCATAGAGTTGGTAGATTTTTTTTTTCTCCAAATAGCCAAACTGTTTCATACTCAGTCCATTGTTTAAAACACTGCTGTGGTTCATTTGGGTTTTTTTCTCTTTATGCCAATTGTTTTCTTTTCCACACATTTGCTTAAAAGCTGTAAGATGGAGTGAGGGATTAGAAACCATCTCAGCTGGGAACCCTGCAGGGCGCAAGGGTACAGTGGCAGGTGCAGGGGAGGGAGGGAGGGTGGGCACAGGGGAGGGCGGGCAGACATGGTGCCAGGTCTCATGGCCCCCGCTTCAGGTCCCTAATGGAGCTGGAGGGCCTTCCCTTAGCCACGAGATGTCAATGGCCCTGAAAGGCCCACATTCTGCCCTTCAGCTGGAGGAAAGGAAGCCAGCAGCCTATAGCTTTCAAAGCTGATTTGCCTGGGGGCCTCAATTCAGCTCTGATTGTCCATTCTAGATTGAGCTTGTTCCTGACCTTGGCCTCCTCTCCTAAAACGAAGCTCCCTCTCTCTAGCACAGTGGTGATCCCCAGCTGCAGCTCCCCCATGTAGACATCCCTCTGCTGCCCCCTCAGGGTCCAGAGGAACCTCTGCCACTCATTCTTCCAGACCGCCCTTCCCGGCCAGTTAACCCTCATGGTTCCGCAGACTCAAGCACTGCTGTTTCTCCAGGTCCTTGCTACCACCATCTGCTGGAACAGAAAGGACTTTGGGGTCTTTTGGAGTAGAGTGCCTGTTGAAATATCATACAAAACAACATAAGGGGAGAGAATGGGGGTCCCGGAATCTCAGGGGCCAGCAGAAGAGATTGATTGTAATCAGCCTGTGGCCTTAAGATAAAATTGCTTTCAACCTCAGTTCTGTAAATAGCATTTCCTTTGCAAGAGTTCAAAGTAGCCCCCAGGCCTTAGGAAGCCCAGCTCCAATGGTGGCTGTCTTCCCAAGGGTACTGCCCATCCCTTCCCCCAACTTCTCCCCCCCACAACTCCCCACAACCCCATCACCTTTCCTGAGCTTCAGAGCGTGAGGCCCTGTGCACACACGTGTTCACCTCATGCCCAACGACCCCTACACGTCGTGGTTTCTGAAGCATTTTGCACACTCGTTGTCCTCTTTGGTCCAAACATCAACCCAATGAGGCAAGTCTTATTATCCCCAAGTCACAGGTGAGGAAACTGAGGCTCAGAATGGAGAAGTTCTTGCCCAGGAAACAATAAAGCCCATTGGTTTGTCTGGCCTAATCCAGGGTTCCTGCAAAAGAACTTCACTGCGGTGACCCCAGCGGGGCTCTGACAGTTGGCTGCCCAAGGACCGGTGGGTCCCGGTTCTTGTTGGATGGGAAGCACTAATGAAACAAAGTCCCAGCACTTCAGGGGTTGGGGGCATGAAAAAAAGGCAGAGGAGTGGGTTTAGTTGTCATGCTACCTGTCCCCCCCCTCCCTCATCCCTAACAAAGAACACTCCCCAACTTTTAATCCAAAGGCCTGATGGGAAGCAGGGGTGTGAGGCGTGGTCCCATCTGGATATGTATGTCTGTGGCCAAAGCAGGTCTCACTAGGGCAAAGGGCATGGCTCCTGTTTTTCCAGCTGTGGATTCTGAAGCCCCCAGGCCCCACAGGCCCTGGAGCGGGAGCAGGCATCCTCAGAGCATACTGCATCCTGCTTCCTCTGCCAGATCCAGCGGCTGACCTCACCTGGCCAGCATCCTCACTTGGGGTTTTCTCCGTGTCTCCTGCAGGTGGTGGAGGTGGCTGGAATGATAACACTTCCTTGCTCTGGTCTGGAAAATCTTTGCTGGAGGGCGCCACTGGAGGACATTCCTGCCCCCAGGCCATGAAGAAGTGGGGGTGGGAGACAAGAGGGGGTTTCGGAGGGGGTGGAGGGGGGTGCTCCTCAGGTGGAGGAGGCGGAGGATATATAGGTAAAGATGATTCGTGTTCAAGGTGTCACTCCCTCCCCTCTTAGTCCTAGGTACTCCCTGTCCTCTCCCTCGCCCTCACCTGCCCCTCCCTTGGCCCACCTCACCTGTGGACTGTGATGTCACTGTGCACGCCTACCTCTCAGCCCCACAGGACCAGCCAGAGGCAGGGTGTTGCCTTCCGAGCCAGCATCCTGCCTCGAGGCTTCAGTAGCAACAGCTTCAAGATCTTATGTGTTCTTGAGGCCCCCCTCCCCCAAAGCCAATGCTAAAGGGGCTTTGATTTCCCCGGGCTGTTCTCTGAGCCACCCCCAGTTCGTGCTGGCACAAGAACCTTGGAGGCCAGACTCCCCAGCCCTGTGCCTCCCTTTGGTTGGCCTGGCCTGAGTCTTCCCTTCCCTGCCCCAGCCCACCAGCTTCCAGAACCCCTCTACATGCTGATGGGCAGCCCAAACCCTTCAGCCAGCAGCCGGCCACTGGCCCCAGCTCTCCTCCGAGCTTCAGAGCAGAGCAGAATAGCCTTCTGAAGCCTAGAGGCTGGGAGATAGCAGTTCCACCCTCCCCACAGATTAGGACACAATGCATGCTTATGCTGTGATGTTCTGTCTGTTTTGCTTCACGCTGTGTGTAAGATGCTCGTGTTAACCAGATGCTCTTCTTTCCCAAACTCTGGGTGGGTGGGAGGAGCCTGAGGGGGGAGCCCAAAGATGACCCAGCCCAGCTGAAAGGAGGGACAGGAGCCTAACGGCACAGGGGCCCATCCCCCCATGTCCACCCCTTACGCGATGGGACTGGAGAGCAACTCCTCAGTGCCACTGCCCTGGCCAGTCCTGGAAGAGGTGCCAAGGGTCTAATCCAGCCTGGGGACACTAGACCTCTTCTGACTCCTGTTCACATGAACTGCTTCCTAGCAGCCCCGTGCAGGGGTGGGGACTCCCTGGTGGAAGCTGGCCTGGACCTGGAGGGAAAGTGGTCCTCACACGCAGCATCTACCTGAGCCAAACCCCAAGCACAGCCCCTGTGCCCCGGGCCTCCCTTCCCTCCCCACCACCCCGCCCCTAGGCCCCTCACCACCCCGAGGCCCATGCATGCCCCGCTGATGTGCAGATGTGTTGAGACTTGGGCCCGAGCCTCTCTGCGTTAAACTCTTCTCTGGTTTGGCACAGGCGGCAACGCGGCCTCAAACAATGACCCCGAGATGGACGGGGAGGACGGGGTTTCCTTCATCAGTCCACTGGGCATCCTGTACACCCCAGCTTTAAAAGGTATCGCCTCTGCCAGGAGGCAGAACCGACCTCCTCAGGCCAGTTCTTCCACCAGATAAAACCTCAGGGCTACTGGCATGAGGCCAACGTACAAAGGCATGATTGTGGGTCCCTTACAGGCAAGTCTTCCTAACACTCATCTCAGCAAGTTTTTCTGGAAGTAGGATGTGTGGCCCGATATGCACTTGGAGGTGGAAGACTGGCTTCCAGACAGGTGGGACCTAGAAAATGCAGCAGTGATAGTCCCCTTACCTGTGCCAACCAACCTGAGGGTCATGCACTTGGACCTTCCCATCTGCCTACAAAAACGCAGCCACGTGTCCTCTGAGCTCCATCAGATGCATCAGGGACTTCCCTACACACAGTGGTGCTTCAGTGGCATCAGTGGGACATAGGGACAGGGACCAGAGATCCAGCACTGACCAGCTGGAGATAAAACACCGAGGCCGGGAATGGGGTGCAGTGTGGTCTTTGCTGCCTCCACCTGAGGCTGATCCTCCCTTCTTGTCACCAGTGATGGAGGGCCATGGGGAAGTGAATATTAAGCATTACCTAAACTGCAGCCACTGTGAGGTAGATGAGTGCCACATGGACCCCGAGAGCCACAAGGTCATCTGCTTCTGTGACCATGGGACAGTGCTGGCTGAGGATGGTGTCTCCTGCATTGGTAAGAGGGAGTTGAAGGAGGTGACAGAGAAGGGGCCCAGACTGTGAGCCCATGGCGGCTACCGCTGGTTTCCATGATTCTGGAACACCTCAGATGTAGTCTTGTTGGCTTTCTGACCCCCATCTGCCTGCCCCAACACGGGTGCTCTAAGGACTGGGCAAAGGGACCTGTGTGTGAAAGGCAGGTCGTGGCTGATGAAGGAACCCCAACACATCTAGTGACACCCCTATCCCAGGGTGTGGGCCCTCACGTACTCACCAAGGGGCCATCCTGTCTCCACTGGAACACCCCCAGTGCCTGGGCCATCGACACCCCCAGGGCACGCTGTCCCCTCCAGAGTTCCAAAGTCAGACCCTGTTCCTTTCAATTTCCACCCTGAGGTTTACTACTCGCAAAGCCTTTCAGATGCTGCAGGCGTTTGAAGACAGGGCTCTGTTCTCCTGCAAATCTCCAGGTGAAACAACCCATTTGTTTCCCTCAGTTCACACAGAACAGTTTTGTCTCCTCCCCATCCTGTGTCCCGTGTCTGCAGGCGTTCCGATACCAATGTCCTTTTGAGATGTAGTGCCCAGGACCAGGCAGGATGTCCCAGAGTGGTCTGTGCCAGTGTGCACCCAGACCCCGCTTCTGCACTCGGGGCCCAGTGCTTGCAGAACTACAGGCAGTGATGAGCCTCCAAGTGTTACTGACGGTCACCCTCAGTTACTGGGTCATACCGAGTCTGTGGTCCCCTAAGTCCTCTGAATCTCCTCTACAGCCACTATTAGCTCGCCTTCCCACCCTCATCCTGTCCTTGTGCAGTTGATGCTTAGGATCGATGTCCAGAATTTGATATTTATCCCTGTCACATGTTCCCTCCAACCAAAAGCTACTGTTGAAAGTTGTAAACCAGATTGACCCCACTTCCTGTGCCCCCTCTCTGCAAACAAAGGCCCCCAAGGTGGAGGAGGAGTGGGTGGCACTTGTCCTGGCTGGGGAGGGCATTTCTCTCTTGGAGCTAGCTCGTAGGACAATCAGCATTGTCACTGGTGCCCCATGGGATCCTGTCTTGCAGTGTCCCCCACACCTGAGCCCCACCTGCCGCTCTCGCTGGTCCTGTCTGTCGTGACCTCAGCCCTTGTGGCGGCCCTGGTCTTGGCTTTCTCCGGCATCATGATTGGTGAGTGTGCCAGAGTCCCGGGGCTTCCAAGGGGGTGGGAGGTGGCAGGAAGGCAGATCTGGCAGAACAGAACAGCATTTCAGGCTTTGCCATGGATGCCAAGGTATCACTCTGGGTGGGTGGTGATTAGAGCAGCCCAGGCCAGGCCAAAAACCGAAGCCCCCTCTCCCAGCCCCCTGGCTCCCTAGAGGAACTGCTGATGCCACACCTCAACCCCCTGTAAGGCCTCCTGGCTGCTCTAGGAGAGGTGGGGAGGCACTCTGCAGAGGGGACACAGTAGCCAAAGCTCACCCCCACCCCCAGAGTTCATTTTCAGCTGTCATCAGACATGGGCTTCAGTGGACACGTGGCTTGGCTCACTCCCCAGGGACCACCGCCAGCCCCACCATTCCCCATCTCAAGCAGACAATGCAAAGTTGCTTTCTAAGTGTTTCTGTTACGCCTGTGAGCCAAGGTGAGCTGATAGGCAGGTCTCAGAGGGCTCAGCGCGGTCCAGCCAGGTTCTTACTCTGGCAATGCCCAGGGCAGGTGGGTAGGTACACGAAGGAAGGCAGAGGGAGAAGATCCGCACAGGCAACACTTTTAGACCCTTCACAGTGGGCGGTGGGGGTTGGGGGTGGTCAGGGAGATAGCAACGTGTGTTATTCCCAAATGATGCCATCCTTCAAAGGGACAGGATAAGGAGAGCTAACACTTGCACACGTCCTACGTGCCAGGCGATTTACACATTTTAGTTCACCCAATCCTCACTTAAGCCTACGATCACGGTTGGTGCATTTCATAGAGGAGGGGACTGAGCACACAGCAGCTGACCCACTTGCCCTGGCCCGTAACTGATGGGGCCAAGCTTTAGAAACAGAATCCACCCTGGGCATCTCAGTTTTGTTCTGCCTCCAGTGAACTTTGCCCTACAGAATGTTCTCACATATAGCAATAGCAGGGGTAATGATCACGTGCACTGGTAGAGCTCTTTAAAATTTTTCAAAACCATTTTCTGTTGGTGAATTCACTTCATTATGACCTCCCGAGGGGGTGGGGGGTGGGAAGCGTAGGGGACAGGCAGGAGTTACTGTCCCTGCTGACAGAGAAGGGGGCTGAGGTCCAGAGAGGTCACATGACCTCACACTGTTGCTCAGCTTGTAAGTGATAAAGGTGGAATTAGAATGCAGGTCCTCAGGCACCAGCGAGAGACCTCCTCACTCTGTGGCAGTTCTCCCCGTGGCTGGGCAGTTTCCAACTACGGGAAGCATAAGTGATCAAGAGACCCAGATGCACTCTCAACTCCACTGCCATGTTTGTCCCACCCAACGACAGGGCTTAGCAGAGATTCTAAGGCAGGCCCATTCCTGGGAGACACAGGACCCCTCTGATGGCTGACTTTGGCTCCAGACCTTTCAGCGGTCTTGCTGAAACCTCTTTAGACTGTGTAGCTGTCCAGGTCTTTACTCACCCTTCCCTCAAGCTCCCACACTTGGGGTCAGTGCCTGATGGCTCTCTCGGCCTTCCCTCCCCTCTTCCTCTCAGCCATTTCCCCTGACGAAATCCTTGCATGTTTAATCCCACCTTGGGTCTGCTTCTCAGAGGACCTCCAACGAATGGGTTTCTGCCCCTGCGTGACACATTAAAATCTTTCCCCTTTATATGATTTTAAACTTTACACTAACTTTAAGTGACCTGTCAGTTAAGGGATGCTTTCATATCCATAATCATTTTGTTAGTGTTACTAACTGCGATGGAAATGTTTAGGTCCCAGAGGAGGAGATGGAGATCCAGGAAGGCTTCCTGGAGGAGGTGGCCTGAGCTAGGCTTCAAGGGCCAGGCTTCCTGGTCCAGGCCACATTGCAGCTGACCTTCATCTGTCTGTAGTGTACCGCCGGAAGCACCAGGAGCTGCGAGCCATGCAGATGGAGCTTCAGAGCCCTGAGTACAAGCTAAGCAAGCTTTGCACCTCGACCATCATGACTGACTACAACCCCAACTACTGCTTTGCCGGCAAGACCTCCTCCATCAGTGACCTGAAGGAGGTGCCTCGGAAGAACATCACCCTCATCCGGTGAGTGCCCCACCACTGTCCTCCGGGGTGGTGGGGTGAGGGAGTTCTAGGGGGCTGGATGTCATCCCTGCACCACGGATCTTTCTAGGCACAAGAGGCCAGCAAAGCAACCGCTCGGGGCATTTCCAGCCCTCCCAGAGGGAGAAGGGTTAATGTTTAGGGCCATTTGAGGAGGTATTTAGTTGCTTCACATCCTATACATTCATGGCATTTGTACAATGAGAAGAAGACAAGATAGGAGGGAATCAGGGCGTTCCTCGGAATCCAATGAAGCACTCCTTCCCGAGCCTTCTGGGTCCCTCCATCCTCTAGGGGAGCACTGTGCCCCTCGTCTGAGCTTCCAGAGCACTCCATGCCTTCCTCCATCATTCACTGAGCTCGCTTTACGGGAGTGTCTGCCCGTGACCTGTCTCTCCCCAGGGATCAGGAGCCTCTCCCCAGGCAGGGCATGTCTTAGTCATTTTTATGACACTGGCAAATATCAAAAACTCAGTCTTCATTGAGTGAATGGACATTCAACCAGTGTTCTGAATCCTGTTGGAACCTTTCTTGCCACTTTTCAGATAAAGCAGTAGGAGGCCTGGGATGGTACGGCAAAGCCAGGTCGAGGGTGTTACTCTTAAGCGTGTACGTGACCCCTGCCCCTTGTGTGCCTCTTTCTCATGACCCACCCCCCTGCCTCATCTTGCCTTTTCCTTTGCACAGGGGTCTGGGCCATGGTGCGTTTGGGGAGGTGTATGAAGGTCAGGTGTCTGGAGTGCCCAGTGACCCAAGCCCCCTGCAAGTAGCTGTAAAGGTAAGAGGCAGGCTCCATCACGGGCCTGACCTTGACCAGCAGTCTCTGTGGGCCTCAGCTCTCGCCTGACAGCCTCTCACCCCTGCTGCTCACAGCCTTCTCCCCCTTTCCACCCTCCCCTTCTGTGTCCAGACGCTGCCTGAGGTGTGTTCTGAACAGGATGAACTGGATTTCCTCATGGAAGCCTTGATTATCAGGTAAAGCCACAGAGAGACGCCCCCATCCCTGTTAGACGTTCCTGTCTAACTGTCTCCAAGGGAAACAGCACTGTCCTCCAGCATCCCCTTCCTCTCCACCAGGGGACTCCCTAAAATTCTTGGCACATCTTACCAGAGCGAATAGCCCCAGGTGGTTGTCTGAGGAAAAAAAACCTCTGTGGCCTAATAATTCAATAGATATCCCTCTGCCTTCACCTAGCACCCCTGTGTCATCTGTTGGGTTTTTCCCCCTTTTTCTTAATAGAGCATGCTAGTTTTTGACAGTGGAAGATACATTTTCCCTGCAAGTAAGCCTTCCACAAGGCCCTTCACCAATCCCAGCTCTTAGATCTCATGTAAAGGAAGTGCATCCCTAACATGAGGGAGGCCACCACACCCTGTTGCACACCGGGCTTGCACCCTTCAACATGTGGCTCTGGGGCCCCTCGCTGGGAATCTAAGTGCTCAGAGCTCCAGAGGGCATGCGTTCTGACAGAAGATGGCCTTAACAAGGATGCAGGTGTTTGACCTTGAGATCTGGCTGCGCTCATGGCCTCCTGTTACACTGGAGAGCCTCAAACATCCTGACACATTGGGGTGACCTGGGGCCCCCCCCCGGGCGAAAGTGTTAGGGGAACAAGGCCAGGGCAGTATGCGATGTGCCCGTGGTGTGCCTGGAGCCACAGGAGGACGCCACGAGCAGGCTCAGCACCTTGCTTAAAAACTAGCATACTTTGTGATTACACATGTAATCCATGATTATTGAATATAGCTCGGAGAGTATAAGATTATATGGAAGGAGACCCAAATCATTCCATCTCACTGTTGCTGAAAACCCATCACTGCTATATTTCAGTGTACAACCAGGTGTGTGCTTCAGCTCTGCGTGCAGTTCCCACGCGGGGTTCACCAGCCCCACGGCCCCATGTGTCCTAATAGGACCACATTAACAAGAAAACCCAGGGTCACCTGGGTGGCTCAGTCAGTTAAGCTTCTGATTTCGGCTCAGGTCATGATCTCACGGTTCGGTTCGTGGATCTGAGCCTGACGTCGGTCTCTGTGCTGACAGCTCAGAGCCTGAAGCCAACTTCAGATTCTGTGTTTCCCTTTCTCTGTGTCCCTCCCCTGCTTGCACTCTCTCTCTCTCTCTCTCTCTTTCTCTCAAAAATAAATAAAACATTTAAAAAATTTTTTTCATAAATAAATTTAAAAAAGAAAGAAAGAAAACCCAAATCTTGGGACCTCTTGGCCAGACTTAGCACCTCCCCATGAGCACCCAAGGGGGATGCACGTGGCCTTCCTCCTCACTCTCCTTCACATGCGGTCACGTGGCAGGGCTCGCTCAGTCCCTGGAGGAAGCAGCTTCTTCAGCTTCTCTGCCTAGGGCTTTCTCGAAGAACTCACACGTGAATCCTAGCGAGCAGCCCATGCACCAATGTCCAAGACACTGGCTGCTCCCTTGTTCCCCCACCCACCCTACTTCCTTCCTGAGCACCTCTCCAGCCTCCAACCCAACACTCCCATGCGGACTGAACTTCCGCCCCGCCCGCTCCCTGGTTCTTCCACCTGCTCAAGGGTGACACTCTCCCCAGCCTCGGCTCATGCTACCCACATTTACAGAATGCATTCACATAATGCAGCTGCTGAAAACATGACTTTGTATCCTGCTTTTCCCACTTAAGATTTTCCCAGACTCAGCTCCGTTAAATTTGGTTACCCCCCCCTCCTCTGCTCTGCAGCAAATTCAACCACCAGAACATCGTGCGCTGTATTGGGGTGAGTCTGCAAGCCCTGCCCCGATTTATCCTGCTGGAGCTCATGGCGGGAGGAGACCTCAAGTCCTTCCTCCGGGAGACCCGTCCTCGCCCGGTGAGTGAGAACTGGTCTTCTAGTGGTTGTACCAGGGAATGGAGCAGAGGGTGGAAACAGCAGGAGTGGACAGCCTGAGAAGCAACATACTCAGTGGGACCAAGGGAGTTGGCCTCTGGGCTTGGATCTGGGGGAATGGCCAGGAGAGATTGGACAAAATGTGGACGATGGCTGAGGCCACCCCTGGGGAGCTTGCGCAAGGCTTGTGCAATGGGTCCTCTAGCCTGAATCCATTTTGTGACCTGTTGACTCTGGAAAACCAAACCAGGGACAAGCACAGAGGGGGACTTTCATGCCAGCCATGTCGTTAACTCAACTGATTTGGGGCAGATCATTCTACATCTATTCATTCTGAATCCCACTATCCTCATCGCTTAAGTGGGGACATCCTGACCTTGTAGTTTTACTGTCAAAATAAAATACTTATAAAGTATATTGTGAAATATTTATGAAGGTTCTGCATGTGTGTCATGATTAAGTGGCTGGAGCTTGTAGGTGAAGAAACCTAGATGGACCCCAGGAATGCCATATCCTAGCCCCGCTTGGCCATTAGACAGCGATGTGGCTTCGGACTGTGAACCCCCTAACCTCAGTATCTGCAGGGTGAAATCCAAGGGCTGGACTAGAACATCTCGGAGGTGGGTTCTAAATTAGAAGGTGTAGCACACTGGGCACACTCAGAGTCCAGCTGCCCACTCCTATCCCTGCCAGGGCCTTCAGGAGGCCCTGAGCACCAGGAACTGGAGCAGACCAGACCCCTGAGTTAGGACCCAGCTTCCTCAAGTTGCCGCTGGACCATGAAGACCACAGGGAAGACTTGTATCCTCCCCACCCCCAGGAAAGCAGAAAAAGACGACAGCCACCTTGCTATGAAAAGCCCAGAACTGAACACTGTGTTCTCAGGTACTCAAACTGGAGGCGGAAACCTTGCAAGTTCACACCTGCTCTAACCCCCACCGACAGTCAGGCTGCATCTAGAAAACCTTTGCCCTGGCAGCCTCCCCATACCGTTCCTGTAAGCCTCTGGGTGAACTGTCTCGGCATCTAAGAAGAATCGGGTCTAACTCCCTGAAAAGATGAGTGTGCGCACCTGAGCAGACCTAGTGGGAGAAAGGGGGGGGGAGACCAACCCCCATCTCATAATAATCCTCATCAGCACTGTCTTCATCTTCCTCATAGTTGCCACGTTTCTAAAAAAAAAAAAAAAAAAAAAAAAAAAAAAAAAAAAAAAAAAAAACCCTATGAAGTAGATGGTGTAGATCTCAGCTTAATTTTACAGATGAGAAAACTGGCTCACAGAAGCTATGTGACTTGCTGAGGCCACACAGGAAGTGGAAGAGTTGAGACTAGAACTCAGGACTTGTGACTGGCTCCCCATTCAGTGCTCTCTCCAGCCTATTATGCCGTTTATCTCAGTGCTCCTCTTTGGGAAGCCATGGAGCCAAGATGAGCTCAGGTCGTTGACAGCCAATACCCCCAGCTATGCAGACGTCTGTGCCAGGGTCTGGATACCAGCCTCAAAGGCTTTCCACCACCACTCAGGAAGGCAGAGCCTTCAAGTCCTGTGCTCTGAGATTCTCAGCAGTGCTTTTGGCAGAGGTCAAATAGGGCCACAAAACATCACGCTCTGGAAAGAGGCTTAGTTCTGATTTTCCTACTGGACATTCCTGAGGCTTGAGGAGAAGGAGGTATTGTGCATGCAAAGGACAGTTGTCCTTGTAAAGGGGATCTGGGACCCCATCACTTGGCAAGCCCAAGGACGTCAGGGGTGGGGAGCTTCTGTGTCTCTTGCAGGCAAAGGCATCTGTCTCTCTTTTGATGGTAATGATGATTTGAATATCGTCCCAAAGAGCAAAGGTGTAGTTCATGGGCACCTCCCAACGCTTCCTACCCCCAAGGAAGCTCAGAGCAAGGAACCTGGTGCCAAGTTGTGACCTCTAACTGCAGGCACTGCCAAGGGGATGCCCAAAGCCAGAAGAGGGTCGACTCTAGTTGGGAGAGCTGCTTCTGAGGGTCAGGGTCCCACTCACCAAATCCACTCTTTTAACCCTTGACCCCACTCTTCCTTCATGTGGTTCTCCTTGGCAGCCATGCCCCCAAGCCTTTGAAGCACCCCAATAATCCTGCTCCTCACCTTCATACACACCCACCCATCCCAGGTGAGCTGGTCCCTCCTGAGATGCCTGCCCACGAGAGGTGATTTAAATGTTGGGCTAGAGCCCTCCAGGGTGAGCCCATGCACATGTGTTCCTGGCAGCAGCTTCCTAGGGGTTGGGGAGATTTGCTGGGCATTGTTACGGATTCTCAGAGCCACAAAATCCAACTGAGCAGAGTAAGGATCAGGTTGACTGTGAGAAAGGAACATGCGTTGTAGTGGACAGAGGGATCCAAATATCAGTAAGCCCTGTACATGACGAAGAAGGGAAGGATTGGCTAATGGGCATCACAGCTGGAGAAATACACACCCCGAAAGATGGTGGGTTGAGTTGCCACACTTGCTGGATTCAAAGGCCTGAGTTACACCTGATTCATTTGTTTGAGCCCCTGAGATTCTCGGGGCTTACCCGATGACCTGCCGTTTGAGGCGCTTGGCCGGGCATCCAGAATCAGACAAGGTCTTGGTCCTGTCTTCCTGCCATCCCTGGGGTTCAGCAGTTCCATAGACTTTTGGGATTGAAGCACCTCAGAGATGGCCCAAGGGACTCCGGCTTCAGATGGACATGAAGTGATGGAACAGATGTACAGACACAGTAGGACAGAACGGATACCCTGGAAACAACCATGTCTGTCATGGAAACAGAATGCATGGGTACAGATGAAAACCTCATTTGATCCCAGGACTCCACCTTCTCAAGAAGGAAAGACCCTGTTTAATGTCAAAATAATTTTACAGGACCAATCTTTATTCAACAAATATTTATTGAGAGTTTAATATGTGCCAGATATGGGCTAATAGCTGTCCTTTGGTATCCATTGATTTAATCAATAACAAGAGAAGCCATTAAGGATTCAGTAATCTCTCAATTAAAGGTGGCAGTCCAGTAACCACAATAGTGTCTGTGCCTGTCCGGAACATGGTGATGCCTCTGGTAGTGGGTCTAGAGAATATGCTCAGTACACGGGAGGAGGCTCCCGGAGGTCACAGAACACAGGTGAGAACCTCTGCTTTGGGCTAATGTCCAGGTGTAAATCTTTGGCTCTGGTGTTGCCATACCGCTGCTGGCTCCAAAATGCTTGAAGGGGCAAGCAGGTGCCAGTGAAGAGTTGGCCACATCAGTGAATCTGTGAAAACAACAACAAAAACAAAAACCTGATTCCAACTCCTTCTTTGTCCAGGATAGATACAAATGCCATTGGACATCCCAGCTACGCTCTGCATTGCTAGTTTCATTATCAGTTTTGACACAACATCTACACCTCCCCCCAAGTCCCCCCGACACACACACACACACACACACACACACACACACACACACACACAGGTTGCCAACTATCTGCTTCTGTGCAGACTGATTAGTGGAGCAGTTAATTTGCTCTGAGCAGCCAAGACAGGGAGTTCAGATAAACCTGGCCCATGGGTTAAAGCCTGGGAAGATTTAGTCCCTGCAGCCTGCCAGGCATTTAAGACATCAATGGTCCTGGCACCCTGAGTGATGGGGGCTAAGACACAAAGAGACTTGGGGGAAGCTATGACCGGTCCTCTTTTATAGGAACAGAACATTTTCCTGAAGAGAAAGAAGATATTTCTAATACTGCAGCAAAATGGATTAATAGTTCCCTTGGAAATATATTACATTTTTCCACCCAGAAAATGGGGACTGTCTCTCTCACAGTGTCCAGTAGTTCTGATCCTAACAAGGCCCCTAAGAGAAGCCAAACACAAGGACCATTTCCCGAGACCCCCAGTCCCCTCCGTGTAGTAACCCCACCATAATTGCAGATGCCTTTATGAGGGGTTCACTCTGTGCCTCTTGCTGTGGGTTCTTATTACCATCTAGTGAAGGTGATAGTGTCGTGCCTCTTTCTCAGACAGGAACACTGGCTTTGAGACAGACAAAGCAGTTAGTCCCAGGTCACACAGCCAGTAGGGCACAAGCAGGGATGAAGCCCAGTTCAGCTCGACTGAAATAAGTTGCTCACTGCATTTGTGTGCTGTATTCTGATTCAGTTGGGTACTCTGCACTGTGTCCATGCACACTCCATCCCTTCCCTGACACATGGCTCCCAGAATCCTGCCTCCCCCAGCCCAGATCCTCAAAGCCCAGCTCAGGGCAGTTTTGGCTCCTTCCTATTGGCTGTGTGACCTGGAGTAAGTCACTTAGCCTCTCTGAGCTCTCAGCCTTCTCCTCTTTAATACGGAGATACCCTCTTTTGCCTACCACCACACAGGATGTTGCGTCAAAGGGCGTCAAGTGCGTGGACTTGCTGTATTGCACGTAAGGCATTGCCTGATGTGCCATGGGCAGAGGGTATTCCCCTCCCTGCTGTCTCCCCCAGAATTGAAGCATGCCCTAGAGAAGCACGACCCCTCCCTGCCTCCCCTAGACCCATACTATTGCTCCAAGGAGTCCTGCGGAGGCCCTGATCTGTGGCAAAGAAAATCCCAGCCAGCATCTGGGTAAATCGTAGACCGCTATGATCGGCCAACCTACCCCCCGATATTCATCGAGCCACTGTGGTGTCCCGAGCATCGTGCTGCGTACCGTGGAAGTAGACGCTGAAATCCCTGTCTTGGGGCCCTCAAAGTTTACTTGGGGACATGGTCGAATAAACAGAACAGCATAGTGAATGTGACACTGCATGACAACATGCTGCTGCAGACTTCGTGGATTTAGGAATTAAAAGAGACACCATGATGGGAATTCGACCTTCAGAAAAGACTTCTGGGTGCTCAGCAAGGCTGTCCGGGAAGCGGAGACGAGCTCACCCCCGGGGGTGGGATGACATCTCTTTGTGCACAAAAGACTCCATACCGAAGAGCTTGAGATCGCCCTTCAACTGCCCAGCATTTCCTGCAAGCTTGTCCTTTTCAATCCACTTTAGGTCCAGATCATCTTGGAGAAGATTAATTTTTTTTAATACTTTTAAACATTTCAATAGAGCATTTTAAAAACATTAGCTCCCTTGATTTCCTCACAGGTTGTTTATAAGCTGGGGGGACTCGAAGGTGGGTGAAGATTGAGGTGGAAGAGTTTGCAGACTACATGAACAGGGGAACCCGCCCCATCCTGGGCTGCTGCAGCTGAGGGCACTCAGCCCTGGTGGCGCACTGCACTGACCTGGGTGGAGGGGGTGCTGTGAAGGCTGCAAACGCTACACCCACCCAGGGAGGCTGATTCATTGGTCTGGGGTGATGCCCCGGCATCTGTGTTTGTTTAAAGCCGCCAGGTGATTTCTGATGTGCGGCCAGGCTGAGACCCAGCTGGGCATCGTGTCCGTCTTTGCTCCTTGCCAACACCTGAAGCCCGTATTTCAGATCTTCTCTCCCCACGAATCTCTTGGCAGTGGATCGCTTCTGTCTCCCCACAGAACCAGCCTTCCTCCCTGGCCATGCTGGACCTTCTGCACGTGGCTCGGGACATCGCCTGTGGCTGTCAGTATTTGGAGGAAAATCACTTCATCCACCGGTGAGTCAAAGTGACCTTGGTCTTCCCCTCTGCCTTCTTTCCGTATGCTTCCCTACGTGTCTCAAGGGCCCAGATCCCCCACTTCAGAGTAGAGTGGTGGGTGTCTCTGCAGACTTGTTCAGATGACTCAGAATCGTCTTTTTTTTTTTAAACATTTTTTTAAAGTTTATTTATTGATTTTGAGAGAAAGAGAGAGTGCGTGTGAGGGGGCAGAGAGAGGGAGAGAATCCCAAGCAGGCTCCATGCCGTCAACACACAGCCCTATGCAGGGCTCGAACCCATGAACCATGGGATCGTGACCCCAGCAGAAATCAAGAGTCGGACACTCAACCAACTGAGCCACCCAGGTGCCCCAGCCTCACTTGTCTTTAAGACAACTACTTACTCTCTCAGGGCTTCATCTGCCCCGTATGTAAAATAGGTATCATAAAATATCCACACCAGCACTGGAGACCTAGCTGGGCAGTCCTTGACCTCCTGTTAGACTCCTGTCTGTATCTCACAGCCCTCTATCACATTAGTGTGTCCCCCATCTAGAAAACCTACCTCTTTAAGGGAAGTTAAAGGAGTTCATAGTTTCACATATTTGACTATCGGTAGCTCAAGGGCAAGGACCCTGTTTTATTCATCTTCATAGCCCTGGTATATCGTGGGGCACAATTAATGTCTGTTGGATACCTAAACTTTTTCTAAAATACTTATTCTGAAATGAAGCATAATGTTTCTTTTCTTTGCCTCCATAGTTCATTTCATCTACTGTCTATGACCCTTATGTTTAAATCGTGTTTGACTGGGACATCAAATCCACATGTAGTGCTATAGACATGATAGAGTCTACATATTTCTTTCCAGGCGATGTTGATGACTTTCCCAGCTGACACCTTGATTCTGAAATCTGAAAAGTCAAATAGATTGTTAGGCTCTTTGCAAAGCTCCTCCCAATGATACACTTCTCGACTGGTAAATATCCACCTGGTGAACTATCAATCACTTTTTAACCCATGTCTTCAAAGAGTATAACACATGTGTGTAATAGTTAATATGTAAAGTACAAAGCAGGAAATGCGAGAAGTTGTATGAGTTCAGAAATGGAAAAGCAAGTAGGCAGATAGCAAGCCCTGCTTTTTGCCCTAATAAAAATGGAGACATTAAAGATCAAGAAATGTGCTCGCCCAGGCTCCCAAAGTCATTCCTAAAACAAGGCAATAAATGCTTACACCAGCTTATCCTTTTACTGTCCCTCCATCATTTTGGTCTTCAGATCTTCATCTTAATTCTAACTCTGTCCAACTTGCAGGATTTGTGCTTGATAGAAATAACAGGAGTGAAAAAGGGGCTGGGACCAATCCTTCGTGTTCCCTCCAAAGCTACACCCTTTGCTTCAAAGTGCAGGGCAGTCTTGCCCTTTTCGTTGTGCCCAGAACTTTCCATAAATCTCAGTTCTGGACTTTATTGCTCTTCAGACAAGACAAGGTCATACTCTTTTTAGAATTCATCCCTAGCTAGAGCCATCTTTCCACCTGTTGTCTGTGTTCTCTAAGTCTGGACTCATCGGACAGTAAGCTGTGCAGTCACCTTGGTGACTGCGGATACCTGCCTTCCCTTCTCACTGAGATCATTTCTGCTTTTTCATCTCCACCCTGTGTCATTCACCCAGTATCCAGAGTCTCTGGCTTAGAGATCACATCCTTCTTTCCCCTGACGTTTTGAAATCTGCTTTCCTCAAGCCGTGATATATTTCGACTATATCCAGCACTCTGTCATTATAGATAATAAGATAACAGGACCACATTCTCCCAAGAGTCCTACCACTTCCACATCTGTAAATAGTTACCAAAGGTCAGAATTAGATCCCAGGGTAATAGTTTGTTGCTGCTCTTATCGTTTTTGAGAAATGGAATTGTCAAAGATCAAATCAGGAATGTATCAGATGGTCTGCTTTATAAGCAAAAGGCAACTTCTAATAGAAATTGTCCATCTCGATCAAAGTTTTTCTTCTGGGGTAACTGGCATTAGGAAGGCATCTTTTGTACTTCCTCGCTGGCTATGGGCTCTGTGGCACGCTCCTACAGCAGTGTGACCTCTTATCCTCTCTCCTCCACCGACATCTGCCTCAAGATTCACAGGCTCCCATGCATGCACACCTTCTGCATTCAGAGAGGAACTCCTTCCCCCAGATTCTCACGCTCCCATTTTTCTATTAGATCTGTTTCCTTTGGACATGGTTTATTGCCATTTCAAGAATTATGGGTCATTCTACCAATTCATGGCATGTTCTATGATATCACACTCACTTTCTTGCCGTTAAATTCAAAATCACTTTTTTAAGCAACCATTTCACGCACATCAGCGTAAAGACCTTCCTGGAGATATAAATATTGTTCCTGTTCTACTTCAGTCTATTTTTCTTGAGAAGCAATGGCTATATATCCTACTATTTTTCTTCTTTTTGATGTCATATATGTTATGCTTTTATAGTTTTATTAGGGCATTTGATGCACTATTGCTCCTCGAAATTCAACTTAAACCTTCGGCATCAGGTCAGTGGCATTAACAACATCCATCTCCCACTCCAACCCATTGTTCTGGTATCTTAAGTGTCCTGATGACCCCCAGTCCTGGTCCTGTTTATTTTCCACGTCCTTATTTCTCAACCAAAGATCAGGACCTTTGGGAAACCAGTTGAAATTATGGAAGCACTACCTGTACTGCCTGAGGAGTACTTTTTTTTTTTTTTTCTGTCTGGGACTTTAATATTATGAGAGGCCCATCCCAGACTTCTTCTGGATGCATCCTTCATTCCCACGCTCACGTCAAGAATGGGTAAGCAGTCAGCAAGTAGATGCTGATGAGCCTTGGAAAGCTTTGATCATGCCTTATAGGCATGCCACAGGAAAGCAGGCCATCTGGTATACAACAGCAAAGAAGACATGATAACTTTATAACTTGAAAGAAAAGATTCTTCAGCCACAGAGCTGTGATACACACAGCTTAGCAAAGGCTTTAGTGACAATCATGGACGTGAGAACAATAGTAGCTTCTTAAAAAAAAAAGAAAGAAAGAAAAGAAAACTAGAATTACTTAGGAATACCTTGACCTGCTTGAATTTGGTGTCATGGAAGTCCTGCTGTCCCAGCACAATCCTTGAGACAACTGGCAGACTCCAACAGCAATCTGTACAAAACAATAGCCCAAGGCCAAATGGCATTTCTTACGTCCCTCTATTATTTTCTTTTAGCTTACATTTTTTACCCAAATGAGAACAATAATAGCACCCTGTATCTTATTGGGTTGTTGTGATAATTACCCATGAAGCACTTAGAACAATGCTTGGTACAGAGCAAGAGGCCAATAAATTCTAGTTCCTATTATCGTTACTTTCATTATTATTCTCCCATTAGACATTTTCAATCATCTCCCCTGTTCCGTTTCCATTTCCCTGGTAGTTCTGAGGGTGGAATTGGTACAGCTATTTCTTTCATACTGAGGTAGAAGTAGCAAAGGAAATACAGGGCAGAGAGGGAACTATTTGAACTCAGATTGCAGGTGGAAGTCCTTGTGATGGATATCACGTTTATCTTCCCAGAAATAAATTCAGAAGTGCATTTTCTCTTTCATTTTTCTTCCCAGGGACATTGCTGCCAGGAACTGCCTCTTGACGTGTCCAGGCCCTGGCCGAGTGGCCAAGATCGGAGACTTTGGAATGGCCCGAGACATCTACAGGTGAGCAAGGATTGCTGTCACCCATCCAAGCCCCATCCCCTCAAGAGGATGGGACGTCGCTGCTTGTGCTTGCGCTGGTACCCTGTCAACTGGCCATCTAACATTTCCTTGAGTCCCTGTCCAGGACATACGAAATCTTAATTAGGGCCCATGCCTGGCGGTCTAATTCTAGGATCTCTGACTGCAGTCACTGACACCACATTCTTTCTGGTTCCAACTCTCATTAATCCCAGGATGTTCTCAGACACAGAATAACCTGCATACTTGATATGGAAAACGTTCTCAATAAACTTTTACTTAACCCCTTTCCTCACTAGCAGGGAATTCCAAATGGACTTGGCTTCCATCACCCCAGGCAGGAGCACCCCAGAACTGACAACAAAACGGGCAAGCTCACTGGTCTTCTCCACCCGCTCTAGGAGTCATGGGAGGGTGCCTAATTTAGCTTCATTTCTTTATCCCTGCCATATTCTCAAGGGTACATTAAAAAAAAATAAAATAATTTTTGTAATTAAACAAAAATCTTCAATTGTACTTTACCTTACTCTTCTCTTCCCAACCCCCAGGTTCACTTCTGTCTGATTATTTACAACTGTGACTTGCTCGGTGAGCTGAGAAAGTCACTCCTTCGCATGGTCACTAATGACGCCCTCCCTGACCCAGGGGAAGAGTGAGGAGAGATGGTCACTTAGAGTTTTCACTCTTGGGAGAGTAAGGGCCTCCCCACCCCGCCCCCGCAGGCCCCGTAGAACTGATAATCATCAACACGGGTGGGAATGCTGATGCCACCCCCTTCCTGCAGGAGAGAAGTGCAGGGAGGACTGGGTGCTCCACTCTCTCTTCTCCCAGCTCTCAGAGTCTCAGCATCCCTTCGCCTCCTTTCTCAGAATGCCCAGAAAGCCCATGGTTTCAGATACCAGTGTCGCAGCATGACTTAGCGAGCCCATCGGCGATGGGCGCCTCCTCTCCATCCCCACCAGCTCTGACAGCTCCCTGGCGCCAGGCTTCACCACCCCAACTTGCGCACAGCCCTGCTGTTCCCATCAGCCCTGCTAGGAAACTTCCTGTGCCTTGCCCCTGCCCCTGTGGCACTGAGCTACATGCACACTTACATCCTCATATGCATTGTCTACACCGCAGTTGTCTGTGTGTCTGTTTCGTACCCTTGGACGAGACGGACTATGACTTCTGTCTTCAGCACATGGCAGAGTAAATAGTACAGGAGTCCCCCTTTATCTGCGGTTTCTCTTTCCCCAGTTTCAGTTACTTGCGGTCCCCTGTGTGGTCTGGAGGCAGATGACCCTCCTCCCGACACACCACCAGAAGGTTACTAATAGCCTAACTTTACGTCACAATGCCTGTGTCACTCACCTCACTTCATCGCACCACGTAGGCCTTTTATCATCTCACATCATCACAAGAAGTAGGGTGAGTACAGTACAGTAAGATGTTTTGAGAGAGACAGAGAAACCCCATTCACCTAACTTTTATTATGGCATGTTGTTGTAATTATTCCATTTTGTTATTAGTTATTGTTGTTCATCTCTCACTGTGCCTGATTTATAAATTGAACTTTATCATAGGTACATATATATAAGAAAAAACGTGGTATATATAAGGTTAGGTACTATCTGTGGTTTCAGGCATCCACTGGGGGTCTTAGAGTATGTCCCCCATGCGTAAGGGGAGACCACTGTACATGTTTATTGAAGTAATTAATCTAAGCAGCTAGAGGGGAGCTGCCTCCAAAGGTATGAGTTAATTGATCAGTCTTTGTCAGTGATGTCATTAACGCAGCTCATGATAAAAACCAATCAACTAACTCACGCCTTTGAAGCCAGCTCCACCCCCAGCCCTGTGCTCTCCTGCCGAGGGTGCTGTGGGAGGCAGCTTCCCTCCAGCTGCCTAGACCCTCTGTTGAGCACCCATATTGAAACTAAATGCTGCATGAGCGTCAGGGAGGATCCAAAGTGAACACGACACAGGCCCTGCTCTCAGCTACCCCAGGCTAGGTCTCCTATTACTGCAGACCATCAGGAAGCAGGCTGTACTTACAAGGCTGGAGTACTGTGATTCATTGTGAGTTATAATCCACAAAACCCATCGGGGAAATCTAACCATCTGCTACTGGATATTTTAGTCATTGCATAGATCTTCGCTTTCATGCTTCCAGCGAGCTGCCTCCTATTAAATGACACCAAAGTTCTTAACTTAATTTTAAACGATCTGTGTTCCCCTGCTCTCCTCCTGAACCGCAGAAAGGCCTCGTTAGTTTCAATGCTGTGATGGCTACAGCTTGTTGTTGCCTGGCCACTCAGGGACACCTCCAGAACCAAGTCTGGGTTTCCTCTTCTCCCCCACAGAGCGAGCTACTACCGAAAGGGAGGCTGTGCGATGCTGCCGGTCAAATGGATGCCTCCAGAAGCCTTCATGGAAGGAATATTTACTTCTAAAACAGACACGTGGTGAGTCTTTCTGTTGCCCTTCTGTGGGTCTCACTGTGGGCCTTACTGGTAGCACTCTTGGGCCACAGGATCCCAAGCTCTCACGGGGAAGGGGGAGAGGAGACGAGTCAACACACCTCTACAACAGGGGCTGTCAAATGTTGGCATGTATCAGAATCGTCAGAAAGGCTGGTAGAGCACAGATTACTCTCCCTACCCTGAAATCTTATGGATCACTGAGAATTTGCATTCCTACCAAGTTTCCAGGTAATGCTGATGCCACTGGCTGGGGACTACACAGTGAGAGGCACATGTGATTTGTTTTTTCCACATACCTATGAAGTTGGGTTTCTTTCAGGAACGTGACATTGAGTTAACATCAGAAAAATTGATCAGTGAAATCCTCCCCATTAACAGAAGGATAAAAGAAAATAATTATCAGCACAAAAGTGCTGCAGGTTACAGTGGTGTTGAGACCCCTTGTGCAGTTAAAAATACGTTGGAAAAACACTGTACATTAGATCTCCAGAACTTTTTCATCCTGCATAACTGAAACTTTGTGCTCCTGACCAACATCTCCCATTTCCTCCTTCCTCCTACCTCTGGCAACCATCTACCCTCTGCATCTATGGCCCCACTTTTAAGTGAGATCATGCGGTATGTGTCTTTCTGTGTCAGGCTCATTTGACTTAACATCAGGTTCTACAGGTTTATCTATGATGTCACAAATGGCAGGATTTTCTTTTTTAAGGCTGAATAATATTCCATTGTATATAAACATGCCACATTTTCCTTACCATTCATCTGCCAATGGGTATTTAGGTTGTTTGCACATCTTGGCTATTATGAATAATGCTGCAGTGAACTTAAGAGTGCAGATATCTCTTTGATACACTGATTTTATTTCCATTGGCTATATACCCAGAAGTGGGACAGCTGGATCTTTCTTTTTGTTTCTTCTTTCTCTTAAACTTTATTTATTTATTTTGAGGGGGGGGAGGGGAGAGGGAGGTACAGAGAGAGGGAGAGAGAGAATTCCAAGCAGACTCTACACTGTCAGTGCACAGCCTGACATGGGGCTTGATCTCACAAACAGTGAGATCATGACCTGAGCCAAAATCAAGAGTCAGACACTTAACCGACTGAACTGGGATAGCTGGATATTAAGGTAGCTCTTTTTTTAAATTTTTAGGAAATCTCTGTACTTTTTTACACAAGGTTTATAAGAGCAACACATAATTTTAAATGGAGGATTAAACCTGTGCTCCCTGCCAAAATACACACACACACACACACACACACACAAGCACACACACACCATTAAAGGGAGTCTTTTTAGTTGTATAAAAATCCCCAAGGATAGGGGCGCCTGGGTGGCGCAGTCGGTTAAGCGTCCGACTTCAGCCAGGTCACTATCTTGCGGTCCGTGAGTTCGAGCCCCGCGTCAGGCTCTGGGCTGATGGCTCAGAGCCTGGAGCCTGTTTCCCATTCTGTGTCTCCCTCTCTCTCTGACCCTCCCCCGTTCATGCTCTGTCTCTCCCTGTCCCAAAAATAAATAAACGTTGAAAAAAAAAATTAAAAAAAAAAAATCCCCAAGGATAAAAAATGACAACAATGACAATATTTTGGAAACTGGGAAGTTTATGGACAAGTGGTACCTTTCTTAGGACACCAGAAAGTTGATAACTAGGTCCAGAAGCAACCTGGTTCGCTCTGCCCAAGAGCCCAAGAAAGGCCCAGAAAGTAAAGGTGTCAGGCACCCCTGGAAGTAGAGGTGCAGCAGGTCGGAAAATCAGTGACAGATATATTTAAAAAGTAACCAGAGTCGTGGCCCATTCCCTCACCGCCTGCCTCTCCCCTACCATAACACAAGACCGGGGGTTCCTTCTGTTAAGAGATTGAATTAAATTCTTTCTGGTCTTAGGGACATTGGACATCACTGAGGATGAATTCTCTACTATAAACAGGAATATATATATCCCTGTTTATAGGTATGTATGTATATATACATATATATACTTAAGTCTACCTACTTAAGTTTATTAAGTCTACTTACTTAAAAATGTATGTCCCCTTGGGGTGCCTGGGTGGCTCAGCTGGTTAAGCATCTGACTCTTGATTTTGGCTCAGGTCATGATCCTGGGGTCATGGGATTAAGTCCCATGTTGGACTCTGCACTAAGCATGGAGCCTGCTTAAGATTCTCTCTCTCTGTCTTTCTCTCTCCCCCCCCCCCCCCGACTTGTGCTCTCTCTCTCTCTCTCTCTCTCTCTAAAATTAAAAAAAGTAGGGGGGCGCCTGGGTGGCTCAGTTCGTTGAGTGTCCAACTTCGGCTCAGGTCATGATCTTGCAGTTCATGAATTCGAGCCCCATGTTGGGCTCTGTGCTGACAGCTCAGAGCCTGGAGCCTGCTTCAGATTCTGTGTGTCCCTCTCTCTCTGCCCCCTGCCCCCATTCATGCTCTGTCTCTCTCTCTCTCAAAAATAAATAAACGTTAGAAAATTTAAAAATAAGATAAATGTATGCACCCTTCTTCCCCTCAGTGACAGGAACATGGCAGAAGGTAGGAGTTGACCAAAGGGTTCCTCATTGGAGGAGCTGACCAATGAAGAGAGAAATTCCAGGTGCTCCAAGTGGCAATAGTCTAAACAATGGTGATCCAATGGCCCTCATCCCAGAAACCTGTAATTGATACCCATGTAAGGAAAAAAGAGCCTTTGCAGACGTGATTGATTGAGGATCTTGAGGTGGGACAGTCATCCTGGATTATGTGGGTGGACCCTAAATGCCATCACAAGGGTCCTCATAAGAGGCAAGCAGAGGGAGATGCCACACACAGAGAGGAGGAGGCAATGTGAGCACAGATAGAGGTGAAAGATATGTGACTACAAGTCAAAGAATTCTGACAGCCTCCAGAAGCCAGAAGAGGCAAGGAACAGATTCTCCCCTAGAGCCTCCAGAGGGGGCGTGGCTCTGCAGACACCATGATTTCAGTCCAGGATATGGCACTGATTTTGGGCATCTGACCCTCAGAGCTGTGAGAAAATAAACTTCTGTTGTTTTAAGCCACCAAGTTTGTGGCAGTTTGTGACAGCAGTGACAGGGACCGATACCCAGTGAAACATGCAAGCCAGCTGCTCCCCCACTGGATAAGATCTACATAGAACTTCTCATCGGCTTTGTAATGTCCCCATAATAAAATATGAGCAGCCAGCCAAGAATCAACAAATGCTTGAGAGAAGATTCTAATCTGAAGGAAACAAATATATAAAGAGGAATTTGGAGGCAGAAAAATGCAGAAAGCTTAGGAAAACTTCTAAAAACTATAATATCCTCAGAAAGATGAATTGTTGCAACCGTAATCTAAGGACAAAAGATTGTTTAAAACAAGGGTTTTAGAGAAAAAAAGTTCTTAGAAATAGAAATATGAGAGAGCCCTCAAGGAGGTGGAGCATTAGTCTCCTGAAGCTCATGTGAGCAGCACACAGCCATGTTAGGTCAGGTGGTCAAGGTCAGTATCTATAGTGATAGATCATGTTGGTAGCATGTGCCCTTGATATGATGTGACGAAAATGGCATTTAACCTCTGTGGTCTTTCTCCCCACACCCAACAACTCTAGTCTAATCATAAGAAAGCAGACAAATCCCAAATGGACATTCTGCTAAAGCCCTGACCAATACTCCTCAAAACTGTCAAAGTCATCAAAAACAAGGAAAGCCTGAGAAGTTGCCAAAGTCAAGAGTAGCCTAAGGAAATAGGACAAATACATAAAATGTGATATTCTAATGGTGACCTGGAACAGAAAAAGTAAATGCAGCAAAGGCTAAGGAAATCTGAATAAACTATAGGTTCTAGTTAATAATGATGCCTTAATATTGGCTCATTAATTGTAACAAATATACCATACTAATGTAAGATGCTAAAAGTAGGGGAAATTGAATGTGAAGTATGTGAGAACACTATTACCTTCATCCTTCATTTACAATCTAAAACTATTGTTAAGAAAACAGTTTATATTTTAATATGATAATAATGATAATGTAAAAGTAACAGGTTGAAGTCAGAGTTGAATAAATCTTCTAGAAAATAAAACAACTATGAACCAATGGGATATGTAGGAAAGAAAAGAAAAGAAAATTAAGAAGATTAGACCCATTAGATCCAATTATCTGACAAATGGGAGTCCCAGAAAGAATGAACAGAAGAAGCGAAGGGAATAAACATATCAAAGAAACAATTCAAGAGGATTTTCCAGAACAGAAAGGCATACATTTCCAGAATGAAAGTGTCCACCAAGTGCCAAGCGTGGTGAGTAAAAAGAGCCACGCAAAAGCACGTCATCGTGAAATTTCAGACCAGTGGTGTTCAAGATTTTGCAAGCTTTCAAGGAGACAAATAATAATAGTAAAAAATTATAAGAGATTAAAATAGGGAATCCAAATGGTTTCGAGTTTCTCAACAGCAACACAGGAAACCAAGAGGACAATGGACAAACGTCCTCCAAATTGCGAAACACATCACAAGACGGGGGAGTCACAATGATCAGAATCCCCTTCCTGACCCATGTTTTGATGATGTGAGCAGGAGCCTTTGTTGTTTTAAGTCACTGGGATGTGACTTACCCAAACCCAGTGGATCACAGTGGTCCTGGGATCAGCAGCCGCAGCATCACCTGAGACTTGTTAGAAATGCAGGTGCTTAGCCCTCACCTCGGGCCTAATGAAACAGGAGCTCTAGGGGTGGGGCCCAGCAATCTGTGTTTTAAGGAGCCCTCTGGGTGATTCCATGTGCACCAAAGTTAGAGCATCACCAACTACCCTAGCCAAATGCAGATAGTAAGTTCAGTAATTAGGTAACCGTTCTGAACACATGTCTATCCTGTGACCCAGCAATTCTATTTCCAAGTGTCTACTTTAGAGGTTGACAAATATGGATTTGGGCAAGGATGTTCATTTGCAACACTGTTTATAATAGAGAAAAGGCAAAAACAACTTAAGTATCCCTCAAACGGGGGATGGAAAATAAATGGTGGTTTGCCGATATCACAGAAAACTATTTAGCAATATGAAAGAACACACTAAACCTGCATGTATCAACATGGATAAATCTGTATGCAACCTTTATTGAAAGAAAGACAAGTTCCAGAAAGGGGTGGGATATCATTATGCATAATTTTACAATACAAAAGCCAAGTCTGTAATACAGATTTGTTATTATGCTTTCACACATTGCAGAAACTCTGCAAACATAGATGGGAATGTGACATTCCAACTTGAGGGAGGGGAGGAGGAGAGGAGGGAGGTTGGGACTTAACTGTATTTTTTTTTTCTTCAAAAAAAGAAGGGGCGCCTGGGTGGCGCAGTCGGTTAAGCGTCCGACTTCAGCCAGGTCACGATCTCGCGGTCCGTGAGTTCGAGCCCCGCGTCAGGCTCTGGGCTGATGGCTCGGAGCCTGGAGCCTGTTTCCGATTCTGTGTCTCCCTCTCTCTCTGCCCCTCCCCCGTTCACGCTCTGTCTCTCTCTGTCCCAAAAATAAATAAACATTGAAAAAAAAAATTTTTTTTTAAATAAAAAATAAAAAAAAAAAAAGAAAAGGAGACTGGACACAAATAAGACAAAAGTTTAACACCTAGGTACAAAATTATCTATTATATTACCTTTCCTTTTTAAAGCTTACATTATTTCCTAATTAAAATGCTTAAAGACACAGATAAATTGCATAACCTCGGATATTGATGAGTGCCATGGAGACAAAAAAGCAGAGGATAAAGAGTGTGGGGTGGAGGGGCCTGAGGAGGGAGGCTGTTTAGTCCAGATGGTGGGGAAAGCTCCATGGAGGAGGTGACAGCCCAATGCCTGAATGGCAAAAAGATGGAAAGATCTGAGAGGAAGGCTTTCCAGGCTGCAAGGAAAGTCAAATGTAAAAGGCCAGTGGCAGAAGCAAGATGAGCTTGTTTGAGGAATGAAAACAAGTCTTCATGGCTGGAGCTGGTGAGCCTGAGGGCCAGTGACAGTTGAGAAAGAAGGGCAGGCAGGGGCCAGACGCGGAGTGCCCTAGGAACCAGGTTAGGGGACGTGGGTTCTATTCAGTGCACAATGGGATGCCCCTGAAAGGTTGGAAGCCAGAGCTTGACAGGATCTGTAAGAAAAAAAAAAAATCACTCTGGCTGCCAATGAAGTGATACTGGAGTGGGGCAGGTGAAGATGGGAAACCCTGCCCATTTCTCGATAAGAGAACAGAGAGGCAGGCTTAGTGGTGGCAGGGCAGCCAGTAGCCGTGGTGGGATTCGAGCTGTGCCTTGAGGGTGGACAGGATTGCTGAAAGTCAGCTGTAGAGTGGGAGGTGTGGCAAGAGTGAGGTCGAGGGCACTTCCTGGGATGGCCGCCACTGGAGAGAACAGAGGAGATGGGTTGGGTGGGGAAAGAGCTTTTGGACAAGTCCAGTCTGAGATGCCTGTAAGACAGGCCAGTGGAGATGCTGAGTGGACTTCTGGTCTGTGAGTCTCGAGCTCCCAGGAGAACTGCAGGAGACAGTGGGATCAGCTGGCTGGATACCTAAATACAGTACAGTAACCTTTTTTGCTGTACTGTTGTTGAAGTACAGGTGACACATAATGTACAACATAGTGATTGGACGAGTGTATACATTATGCTGTGCTCATCACAAATGTGGCTACCACCTGTCACCACACAGCGCTGTTACAATCCCACTGACTGTATTCCCTACGCACTGCCTTTCATCCCCTTAACTTACCCATTCCAAAAGCCAGACGCACTTTTGGTTCCCATTTTTCCAAAAACTGTGCTCCAAGCTATGAATAAAGGAAAATAAAATGTAACTTTAAAAGACTGATGAGCACAGCACGATTCACGATTTTAAAACCTTGTCACCAGATTATCTTCACTGATTCAAATTCTTAAAACAATTTAATCAGCAGTTACTTAAGCTGTTTCTTTAATTTCAGGCAGAGCAAGTTTAATACCAAGAGAAGGAAGAGTATCTTGTTTTGTTTTGTTTTTTAAATACGTGTTTTTATTTGGCTTTGAATGTTTTGGGGCAAAGCCGTGGGCTCTATTGCTCCTACTTAGGACAGGCTTATAGGTGATTAAAGAACCATTTGGCACACAAAACATAGAACCATTTGGCACATAAAATAAAAGATGACCAGTTAAAATTGGATTTCAGATGAACAGTGAGTAATTTTTTAGTATAAGTATATCCCAGGCAGTATTTGGGATATACTTATATTTTAAAAGCATCTCTTGTTTGTCTGGAAGAAATATGGTTCCTGTATGGCTATTTGCTAAATATGACAACTCTCCTTACCTAAAATTATCAAAGTTCTATGACCAACACTGCCTCTTGCTCCTTTGAACTCCAAACCAAGAAAATAAATATCTATTTGCTGTCTAATATGCTGCTTCTCTCAAAGGATACTACAATCTATTTCTCTAGCTACCTAGACAGGCAGAAAAAAGATAGCTGGAATTCATTATGCCTTACTACCAGGTTTTTTTGCATGATTTTGCCTATTTTGTTTTGCCTTGGGAGAAGACAAACTGAGAAGAATATATACACCAGGCAATTTGTAGTTAGCAGAATCGAGAGATCTAATAACGTATTCCAGTCTGTCTCAGATTAACTGTATAATAACCTCTGCTTCAGAATTCTCACCTGAAAAATATGGACAATATCTTTGCCCAATGCTCCTCACAAGAATCTTTGAAATTTCACCAAGATGATGTACTTTTTTTTTCCTTAGGAGATGGAGAAGCTATAGTTCTCTACAATTTTTGATAGAATATTTATTAACATCTGAAAACTACACCCAGATGCAAAAACAAGGATAGACCCTTTTTTTTTTCTTTTTGCCAAAAAGCTAAGTAAGAAATTAAAGGCTAAAATAAAAATTTTAGTCAAAATATGAAAGATGATGCTTCTGGAACATGATAGCATCATTTTAAAGTTTATTTAAAACGGGGGCACCTGTTAAGCGTCCAACTCTTGGTTTTGGCTCAGGTCATGATCTCACAGTTCGTGAGTTTGAGCCCCACATCAGGCTCTGCGCTGACAGCTCAGATCCTGCTTGGGATTCTCTCTCTCTCTCTTTCTTTCCCTGACTTGCACTCATGCGCTTTCTCTCTCTCAAAATGAATGTAAACATTTAAAAAATAAAACTAGGGACGCCTGGGTGGCTCAGTCAGTTGAGCGTCCGGCTTCAGCTCAGGTCATGATCTCACGTTCCGTGAGTTCAAGCCCCACATTGGGCTCTATGCTGACGGCTCAGAGTCTGGAGCCTGCTTCAGATTCTGTGTCTCCCTCGCTCTCTGCCCCTCCCCCACTCATGCTCTGTCTCTCTCTGTCTCAAAAATATTTAAAAAATTTTAATAAAACAAAAAAATAAAGGTCATTTAAAACAGATTAACAAATGAGAATTCAACTACATTTCTTAAGGAAAAAACTGTCCTACAAGATATTGCAACATAAATACACAAAATGTAACACAGAATGGCATCATGCAAGGAGCAGGCAAATAGATTAAGTGAATAGAGAGCTCAGAAACAGATGTGTTTTTACTCACAAGTCAATAGTCAGGGGGAAATTATTCTATGAATAGTATTAGAGGATTTGTTGTTTGCAAATGATTCAATGTAGACCCTTACCTCACACCACACACCAAACTAAGTTCTCAAATCCAGCTGGAGAAGAAGAACAAATACAACTTAGAAGAAAACAGCAAATACTCATCTAGTCTTTGGTGAAGGGAGGATTGTACACTCTATAAAACAGATGGAGGAAATCACAAAATTTTAAAAAATAGATTTGACTACCTAAAAATAAAAATCTTTGGGATGCTAAAAAGTGGAATTAGAAAGCAACTGATAGAATTATTTCAATTTTGGATAAAGGTTAGTATCTCTGATAAAGTAGGTCTACAAATAAAAAAGAAAATTAATAAATACCAAAACAATATGTAGACATAAATGGGCAAAAAAATACAAACAATTCATGGTGGGGGGGAGCGAATATACTTGAGAAAACAACCATGTTCATTATCAAGTCAATAAATATAATCTAAAAGATTCTACCATTTTCTACCTTAAAATCAGCAATAATTCTCATTTTTGATAAGAATACTCAATGTTGGGGAGAATGTCTGATGCATTATTGCATAGTGCTGCTTGGTTATTGGGAATGACACATTTGGAAGAGTGGAAGTGGACAGTATGTGCCAAGAATTTTTTGGTGTTCATATTCTTTTGATCTAGCCATTCTACTAGAATTATCCTAGATTTTACTAGATTATCCTAATCCCAAATTTGAAGAATTTTTCCTAAGGAAATTGTTCTTGTAAACGACGCACAAAGATGTTCATCACAGTCTTTGAAATATTGTAAAAAATTAAAAACAATATGGAAATGATTAGGCAAATTATGGCACAACTACTCCAGGGAATGTTTTGGGACCATTTCAAATGTTTCTGTTGGCATAGAAAATGTTTATCCTGTAATGGAAACTGCAAAAACAGTCAAGGTTCAAAATTGCTTATTAAATATAACTGCAATGATGTAAAAAAAAATATCTAAGTACAGGAACTTGACTGGAACAAAAAAAAGAACATGCTAACAATGGTTACCTTTTTATGGAGCATCTCATGTGGCTACTTTCTCATTCTTTTTGTTGTTGTTCTCCATATTAAGAATTCCCAATTTGGGAAAATGTGTAACAAAAGAGTCAAATTTTATATCTGTATGTGTATGTCTTTGTGTGTCCCTGTGTGTATGTCTATATATCTGCGTACGTGTGTGTGTGCGTGTGTGTGCCCATATCGTATCTTCTGTTCTGTACACAGGTCCTTTGGAGTGCTGCTGTGGGAAATATTTTCTCTTGGATACATGCCATACCCTAGCAAAAGCAACCAGGAAGTTCTGGAGTTCGTCACCAGCGGAGGACGGATGGACCCACCTAAGAACTGTCCTGGGCCCGTGTATGACTCTTTGGGGAACATTTCTACAAGTTGCTAAGGATGATTTTCCTTTTCAAAAAATACTGCAGCCACATATGCTTTTTTAAGATGAAGGGGCAGATGGCTGACCTCATTTAATATGCCCCAGGATAGGAGTGTGTCTGTGACTTGCGTGAGGAGGGTTAGTCCTCCAGCCCCTCGGAAGCAGTAATGTCATGACTTGAAAGTTATCTACTGTCTGACTGGAGGCTGTGGACTCACCAGGCTCCCCCACACCTCTTAGGAATCTGTGTCCCAGACTCCACCCCGGCTGCCCTATGCCATCTGTTTCAAGTCACCTTTAAAGATTTCCAATCCCTGCATTTTCTGCTGTCTTGTAGGGCATCCCTCACCTCCTTCCCACAAGCAAGGCAGATGGGAAATATAATTAGAATATTCTTCCCCAGAGGTGACTTTAGTTCAGAAATGGAATGAGAGGAGCCATATTTCATGTCAACTCCAGGACGTCTGTTAATGAGCTTTGGTGTTCTAATAGCCTTACACCTGGGCGCGATTCCTTGGCCCAGCGGCAGAGGGCGGCATATGCCAGCCACATGGGACATAGATGAGTTTTCACTCTCCAAGACAGTGCCACCTCTGGTCCCCCTGGGAAAGTGCTGGGGAAACTATTTTTCACCCTTGTTTCTCCCGGTTTTAATGAGTGTGCTTACTCTTCTTTTAGATACCGGATAATGACCCAGTGCTGGCAACATCAGCCTGAAGATAGGCCCAACTTTGCCATAATTTTGGAGAGGATTGAATACTGCACCCAGGTATAAACTCTTTTCCCTTTGACCAGCATTTATATGGAAAAGATGGCAAATACCAAAATGTGAAATGAAAGTTAAACCAGCCAGGAAATAGGGAGTTGCAATCACTAGAATGGTTGTTTATCTCTGCAGTAAAACGACGAGTGCCTCAGTTTGCCCGGTTTGGAAATAAATGCTAGTTACCGCCTCTTCCTTCACCAACACATGACGCAGTTTCAGACACTCAATAATATTAGGGAATCAGGTCTCACAAGTGCTGACTAAAACCCTATTGGGTAACTAATGGTTTTGTAGACAAAACTGGAGCTTCAGAGACGTATGGGAAACACCTGCTCTCAAACAGTTTATGGTGTGGCTAGAGAAATGTTAATGTGAAACCACTGCCACTATATAATTGTTAAATCTTGTGCCCAATGACCTATATCAGAGGGATTCAAGGGAGGAACAAGGTGATTCGGAGAAATTTTAACATCATCAAAGGCGTTAGTACAGCATCTGTAATATGCAAATCGCTTTCCATGTATTCCATTGTATCCTCAGTCAGGTACACAAAATATCCCCACTTTCCAGATGAGTTGAGGTTTGGAGAGGTTTCTCCAAGCCACACAGCTTCCTAGCAGTACTGCTGGTCCTTATTTCCTTCAAAAAGGACTCTAAATTCTCCCTTTTCTACCCCATTCTAGCAGACTATGCCTCCTACCTCAGGAGAGGAGAAGCTAAGAATTCATTTCCCCCCCTGCCTGGACATCTACACCCAGTCTCACCCCCTTCCCCACGTGTCAGTGGAGGTGGAGCCCCTCCACCTGCATCACCAGCTGCATGGTGCCCCCCTGTCCCCCCCAGGAGTCCCTCCACCTGTACCACCAGCTGACCCTTCAGGGATGCTCCCTCCCTGTGGCAGTGTCACCTCTCCACACATCTTTCCCTCTCTCAGCTCTCATTCTGCCAGGATATCTCGAGAGTATTTCAGAAGTCAGACAATGAGCCACGACCTCTCTAAATCACCTTAGTTGTGACAGGAGACACATACATGTTCAAGCCACATCCTTCGTTCCCAGCACCAGAGTCTCACCCTTCCAGCATCTTCCGTTCAAAAGTGAAGGCACTGGGGCAACTGGGTGGCTCAGTCGGTTGGGCGACAGACTTCAGCTCAGGTCATGATCTCACGGTTCGTGAGTCCAAGCCCCACATCGGGCTCTGTGTTGACAACTCAGAGCCTGGAGCCTGGAATCTGCTTCGGATTCTGTCTCTGTCTCTCTGTGCCCCTCCCCCACTCTCTGTCTCTCTCAAAAATAACATAAAAACATAAAAAAAAAAAGTGAGGGCACTGGCATTTATCTAGATATCAAGTTATTTGGGGTTCTTTCAGAAAACTTGGTGTTCTGTGAATGGCATTTTAGGTTGTTATACTAATGGAATATACCCACTTGAATGTGTGTGTGTGTGTGTGTGTGTGTGTGTGTGTAGACACACACACACACACACACACACACACTTCGGAGTAATTTTTCTCCAAAGTATATAACATCCCTCTTAAAAGCAGGTAATTTTGTACAAGTATATTTTGAATGACTCCCCCCATAGAGATTAATAATTAACAGGGAAAGAACTAAAGAATAAGAGAACCAGGATGTAGTTATTTTTATTCTCACACTCCTTGTTGACAAATCCTGGACCAATGTGCTCTTCTGCAAAACTGAAGCAATGGCTTTCCCAATTTGCATAAAATATTAAAGAATTAAATTCCCCCAAGTTTAAGCTTCCTTCCACAAATTTTCTTCCAATCTCTGGCAACTGCTTCTGCCTTTCTATATTACAATCCACTGCTATAAAAATGATCTAGCACAAAGTCGGGTTTGTAAGCAGTTTTCCTCACAGCACTGCCGCATTTCGTGGGTTTCACAAAGAGGCTGAGCATATCCAGGCCAGATAAAGAACCACTGTGTAATCTGCACACACGAAGATGTAACAGGGGAAAAGTTATCATCAAGTGTAGCCCAGCCAAATATGAAAATGGAAGGTAGCTAGGAAGAAAAGAGATCTTTTTTTTTTAATGTTTTTATTTTTAAGGAAGAGAGATAGTGAGTGGGGGAGGGGCAGAGAGGAAGACACAGAATCCAAAGCAAGCTCCAGGCTCTGAGCTGTCAGCACAGAGCCCGATGTGGGGCCCAAACTCATGGACAGCAAAATCATGACTTGAGCTGAAGTTGGACGCTTAACCGAGTGAGCCACCCAGGTGCCCCAAGAAGAGAGAAATCTTTTTTTTTTTAATATTTTTGAGAGAGAGAGAAAGAACATGAGAGCGGGAAGGGCAGAGAGAGAGGGAGACACAGAATCCGAAGCAGGCTCTGAGCTGTCAGCTGTCAGCACAGAGCCCAACATGGGGCCCGAACTCACAAACCACAAGACCATGACCCAAACCGAAGTGGGGTGGTTAACCGACTGAGCTATCCAGGTGCCCCAGCCGAGAAGAGAGAAATCTTGTAAGCCAGCACAGCATTTGTGTCTCCTCTCCTCCCTTCCCCTCCCTCTTGTCCTGCGTGCATACACACGTGTGCATACACATGTGCGCACACACACACACGAAGTCAAACACACAGACTTTTGTAGTTGAAGGATTTTATTGGGAATACGCTGGAGTAATTTTTTAAACTGATTTATATATTTTTTAACCCGTGAATCTGCAAGATTTGCCCAAGGTGGTGGGCATAGCCTGCATAGCCTGTCCTGGTCGCCTCCCCTGCCCCGGGCAGTTGGCTGCTTCCCAGCACCTGACACTTCTATACTAGGGTTTCCTCTGCGAGCTCTTCAAGGATGAGGATGATTCCTGTTCACTTCCTATTCCCCGGTGCCTATGAATTAATATATTCCCAATAAACGCTGAATGGTTTCTTCATCTGTAAAGTAAGTTTGGACGAGACCATCGCTAAGGGATCTTCCAGATCCAACAATTCTGCGATTCAGCATCTTAATCGGTTTGTTTCTCCCACCTGTAGGACCCAGACGTGATCAACACCGCTTTGCCCATAGAGTATGGCCCACTCGTGGAGGAGGAAGAAAAGGTGCCCATGAGGCCCCAAGACCCGGAGGGTATTCCTCCTCTCCTAGTCTCCCCTCCACAACCTAAACGGGAGGAGGGGCAGGATCGAGCTGCCCCGCCCCCTCTGCCTTCCACTTCCTCCGGCAAAGCCTCCAAGAAACCCACGGCCGCGGAGCTCTCTGTTCGCGTCACCAGAGGGCCCGCCGTGGAAGGGGGACACGTTAATATGGCGTTCTCTCAGTCCAACCCGCCATCAGAGCTACACAAAGTCCAGGGATCTAGAAACAAACCCACCAGCCTATGGAACCCAACTTATGGCTCATGGTTTACAGAGAAACCCACCAAAAAGAACAATCCTCCGGCAAAGAAGGAGCACCATGAGAGAGGAAACCTGGGACGTGAGGGAAGCTGTACCGTCCCACCGAACGTTGCAACTGGCAGACTTCCGGGCGCCTCTCTGCTCCTAGAACCATCCTCGCTGACTGCCAACATGAAGGAAGTGCCTCTGTTCAGGCTACGTCACTTCCCGTGTGGAAATGTCAACTATGGCTACCAGCAACAGGGCTTACCTTTAGAGGCCACCACTGCCCCTGGAACCAGTCATTACGAGGACACCATTCTGAAAAACCAGCCTGGGCCCTGAGCCCACTGGCACTCATTTATCTTCCTTGGGAACCCTGAGCCCGTGGAGGAGGGACAGGAAATGGCTCCCCCACAACCAGAGACCAAACGTCACTTTTCATTTTGTGCCAACTTGTTTTGAAGTGCCACAGAAACAGCTGTATTTTCAAAATGCTTTAGGAAAAGGTTTCGAGCATGGGTTCATCTCATTCTTTCAAAAGAAGAAAAATATCATAAAGACAAGCGAGAAACACAAGGCCCCGACTTGGGGGCGTTTGATGTATGCTGCCTCCTGCTTCTCTCAAACTGTGTGTGCTCTGCCTCAGTGCAGTCAGAATTCGCTGCTTATGTGTCTCATAGTCGGAGTCATGGGTGGCTCCTTACCTTGCTGATGTGGACCGGGACCACTTGAAGAGGGGGGAGGGAACAGAAATAAAGGAGGTGCTTGTAATGGGCTGGCACGGGGAAAGACATTCATTCTTTACCGGGCAAGGAAAAATCAGAGACAACTAACTGAAATGTCCCTTTAGATGATGTCCGGATGCTTTCGATTGCGCCGATTCAACGATGATTGTAAAAACATGAATAGTTACGGTACCATAAAGAAAATGTGAATACACTCGTGTGAATGAAAAGCAGATATTCAGCGTAATTTGAATATGATACAAAACACCGTACGTACAGATCCAGAGATTCAAACATCCTGCTAATATACCTCATGCCTTAAGAAAACTCCTCCTACTAAAAAGGGGAAAACTGAGTGTGAGGATTCCTACTGGATTGAAAACTCAAGATTTGCATTATCACTTACTTAAAACTTTCCACTAATTAAAATAAACTCTGATCATTTAAAAGCAAAAATCTTAAGTAGCAGTGATACATTGAAGCATAGAAACCCATCCCTTCACGGGCCTAGGTATCAATACCTCCCCGGCCAAAACCTTCCAAGAGTTTCCATCATGAAAGTTACCACGCTGACGTGTCCACCTGCAAGTGACAGGCGGGTCACTGGAGTAACAGGCCGTCAGTGGTCCTGAGGAGGGGTGCAGTGTCCTTCCTTCCAGTGTTCACCTACGTTCATCCCCCTGCATCATGTGATCCCAGTGGACGAGGGGACACACATCTGCTCAAACATACATAGCATCGTTTGTCTAGCTACCAAATGCAGACCGAAACACAGAATTCTTCTTCTGGGGGGCAGAGAGGAGAGGGGCTACAGGGCAGTGGCGTGCAGAGACTGACACTGGCATGTTGTCGTGGGGGCTCTGAACTTGTTTTTCACACATTACGTTTATTTCCACGAAAACGAACTGGGGACCAGTTGAATTTGACACACCCACACCTACGCAACAAGGCTTTACCAGTGAATTTTCACGTCGTTCTTTCTTTCTGCTGCTCCTCCGGCCCTTTGCTCAGCTTCTTTCCTGGTGGTAGCTGTGCCAAAGCATTGCTTCGGGAGGAGAGCATTTTCCATTCCTTGCTAGGCTCTGAGCATTCCCGAGCAAAAGGACTATATGTACATATCCACCTTTTCCCCCACCGCCCCACTTTCGCCTACATCACAAGTATCACTTTGGACGTGGGAAAGCCATTCTGTTCTAGGCCAACGCTGGACAAGTGTCCATTCTTTCTATGGCAGATGCCTTGCCCTAGTCAGTGGTTCTGCACATCTGATACCCTCAACACCACTTTTTCTTTATCTTAACTGCCAAAAATAATCAGTACAGTTCTGGCTCATGCCAGGTACAAAAGTAAACAGTCCAATTATGTAAACATTAATCTAACTCATAAACCACCTAAAGGGGCCCAAGAGTGATACTTTGAGATGCAGTCTCCTAAAGGATAATGACAGGGGAGCTGACAAGAACTGAGAAGAACGATTTCATTTTAGATCTGTAACACCAGTAACCAGTTAAACAGGGAGCATGCTACATGGCTAAACAGCCAACTCTTTGTCATTAATGGTGGGGGGGAGGGGAGGGGGGCGGAAACTGTATCCCTGTCTCTTCTTAAAAACTATAAATCCATTACATTTTCAGGTTGTGCCTTACTACCACTGAGTTTGATTTGCTGATTCTAATTGTCTTCATTGGTATCAATTTTCATGTAAATGATAGTCAAGTCTTAAAAGCCTGTATACGTGGATAAGTAAATAAACACCTCCACACTGAGATATGACCTCAAGATGTTTCATTTAACTCACTGTAAGCCCTAGGTATCACCACAAAATTAATCCCAACTACTGTCCACTCAGTACTGCCCCGGCCATAAGGCCACGGCCATTCATACAGATGCCAGAGATGCTCTTGTTTATTCACTATGATAGAAGAGTCCGACCTAGAGCACGAACAGACACAATGACAGTTTAGAGAAGCCATGTTAGTTAAACCATAAGCTAGAATAACTTATTTATATTCCGTATCTGTAAGGAAGCTCACCACAAGTTCACAACCGTACCACTGGGAAACTGGCAATCTGTAAGAGAATGACCAGTTTAATATGTGGCACCTCAAAATCATAGCAAATCAAAAGAGCGGGAATAAACTTACTTTTTCTTAAAGAGTATGATCTACATAGTAGTCAGGAGACTGGATTCTCTCCCACCAGTTAGGGTGCGAGTCCCGGCTCCCCTTGGGGTATCGGATCTGCCTGGACCTCAGCACCTCCGTGTGCAATGGGGAGAATGGTTTCCCTTCCTCGCTGCCCCTCATGGAGATTACGAAGTGTATACAAGCACAAGCACTGGCTCGGATGCCTCCTCAATTCCCAAGTGATCTGGGCTGGGTGTGGGGAGAATTTCCAAAGTCACAACGTGCCTCTATGTCCCTGCCCTTGTACCCACCCCTCTGGGCCTCGTGGTTCTCCTGTTTGTACCAGGTTTGGTTTCATCTGCCACTTGTTTAGTAACAGTAGCAAGAACCTGCTAGAACCCAGTCCTTTTCAGCTCAAAAGAATAAGAAGACTCTATCACACTTAAAACTTGGCTTAAATGTTAAAAATAAGCACCACAAAAAGGAAGATACTTCATCAGTTTGAGCAATTTTTTAAAAATTTTCTGGCTGCTTCATGTAATACTTGGCAAGCTCTAGAGCTATAAGAGATTGTAACTGCAGATTAACTTTACTTGACTTTACTAAGAAATTCGAAGTGATCAGACTACTTTAATAGATTCTCTCCAATAACAGCAAGATTAACATTCACATGAGCTTTGTGGACCTAAAAACAAGATGCATATAAATTCAGACTACCCTTGATAACAGACTCCCCATGACAAGACTCATAAAACTGTATGAAGTGTGTTGTCAATCTGTCTTTAGCTAATGACTCTTTAAATGGGTCCCCAAAGAACATACAATTTGACTTTGCTAAGTTCATCGCAGCAGATGGTTGCCCATGTTGTGCGAACATGCAAAACAAAACCCAGCATTCCCGTAATCCTCCATAGGATGCCCTAAAATAAAAGAGAATTATTGAGAACAAACAGTAAGGCTTCTATTAAGATTCTGTTTTCCTTTGGTATCCTGAGTAGGTGTATTTCACTTTTAATGCGCTACCCAAGCACAAAGCTATTTTTAGCTCTAACTTAATTTTGAAACATTGGAAAAGTTCAGTGTAAGAACAGACCATTACCTACAATGGGGGTGGGGGGCAGGAAGGAACACGAACTATGACCACACAACCGAAGCAAGGACTTCCCCGCTCTTCAGTGTTCAGTAAACGTAAAACAAGTGTTACCCTTCAGGTAAAGATGCGCTACCGGGCTAACCTCGGAACGACCGCGAACACCAGAGTCTGTAGTGCTGGCCCAAAGTCCACTTCTCAGCTGCCTCTGTTGCCCACGCTCTAGCTATCTCCCTTACTCCATCTATCTACCAAGGCTACTGCCTCCTTGAAAGCAATTACAATTATTTGTCCTGCCATCACTCCAGTGCTCGCTCAGAGGCACGTCAGCTGGTATTAGTTGAAAGACAGTCGTATTGAACGAACTCCCACTAAGCTTCAGCAACTAGTGCATGTTGCTAGAGTCTAGAATGTTTACATTTTAATATCTGCCAATATAGGTGAATAGCAGATTGACAAAACTTCAGATGATTATAATATTTTGGCTGGTTTAGCTCTCAGCACCTCTTTGAGAGATGGCAGGCAGACTGGGCAGCAGCTAAGAGCCCCGGGTGCAGTTACCAACCCCTGTGACTCAAGCAAGTTAGGTGAACCCTCACTTTCTCACTTAACAATATGAGACTTCACCTCTGTGTGAGGCAAATCCCAACACCCGGCCCCAAACCCACAGGAAAGGAGTGGTGCGTGGGCACACGTGTGTGCCTTTCATTAACCTTGACACCTTGACCCCTAATGCATTGGGAGCCAAGGCCAATTAATTCAGTGTGTCATCCCAGTAAGCCAAATTACGTTTAGTCTTTATACAGAAGCGGACCAGAAAGAAGTTTATAGTCTCAGTTCTGTTTATTCTTTCTATTCAAAGATCTCTTTAGCAAACCATAAAATTAGCGAAGAAAGTTAATCGGGTGGTTTCCTGAAAGAAAGCAGCAGGACTATGAGAATCACGTCCATTTAACAACCTTCAGGGGCGCCTGGGTGGCGCAGTCGGTTAAGCGTCCGACTTCAGCCAGGTCACGATCTCGCGGTTCGTGAGTTCGAGCCCCGCGTCGGGCTCTGGGCTGATGGCTCAGAGCCTGGAGCCTGTTTCCGATTCTGTGTCTCCCTCTCTCTCTGCCCCTCCCCCGTTCATGCTCTGTCTCTCTCTATCCCAAAAATAAATAAAAACGTTGAAAAAAAAAAAAAACAACCTTCACGCCTTCGGCACCATACCACTCACTTCCCTTAATGTCTGTTACAACTGCAGACTTATTGGCAAAGTAAAATCATAAAACTTATCTTTGGAAGGTTCTCTTTTGCCACACCCGATATTTCACGATAGGTCTGATGCACTTCCTGTCCACTGCCAATTTGCACCTCCCGCTCTCCACTCCCAGAGCCACAGAACAAAGCCCAGAATAAGCC